CAATATGATATTACTTCTAGTTTTGTTTTTATCTAGTTTCTTTGCATATAGAGGCATTATTAAAATCATATCTCTTCCTCTTTTTTAAAAACAAAATGCATATTTTACACACACTACTCTGGATCTTGAATATTTTCTCTTAATACAACTTAAAATCCTTCCATGTTAGATTAGAGATCGCCTCATTCGTATATTTGTATGTGTGCCACTAGATGGTTTAGCCATAACAAACCAGTCCCATTTTGATAGACACTTGGGTTGTTTCTGAAATTTTTTTTATTACAAAAAAATTCCATCTGTCTATACAAAATAACTTTTGTTATGGATATTTTGCATGGGTGCAATTATGTTGGTAGGATGAATCACCCAGTATGGAATTGTTGGATTGAAAAGTACATGCATTTGTAATTGTGATAGATAATGCCAAATAGCCCTTTGTAAAGGTTATACTAATTTTCACTCCCACCAGCAATGAATGAGGGTGCTTATTTTTCTACACTACAGGATTAGAATGTTAGCACATTCTTAGCTTTTTGTCAATCTAATAGGTGGTAAATGGCATTCTCAGTGAGTGAAGCTCATTATTGTAAAATGAGACTGAATGCTGTTTCATACAATTATGAGCGGCTTCAATTTTCTATTAACAGACCATTTCTAGCTTTGACCAGTCTTTACTGGGACGTGGTAGTGGTATGCTGGAGTGGTCTTGAGCCAGTTAAGGAGAACCAGTTGTTGAATTTTTGACATCAGTAACCTGAAATTAGCCATGGTGGGAATATTTACACCAGGGAAATTGGAAAACACAAATCAGCAGGACATTTCCCCTCCACCAGATAATTGCTAAACATTTACTAGTACACCACTCATTATTGGGCTTCTTGTTAATTCCTAGGAACCTTTTATATATGAAAGAAACTAGCTCTTTGTGATATGAATTATAAATAATTTTTCCCAATTTGTCATTTTCTTGAACTTGCCCTAGTTTTATTTTTGCCATGTGGAGATATTTAAATAAATTACATAATCAAATTTATCATCTTTTCTTCTAAATATCTTGTAATTGTAAATCATATTGGAATGGGCTTTTCCACTCCAGGCTACAAAGGCATTTGATCTTGTTTTACGACTTTTGTTATATTTCACACTTTAATCTTGGGTCCATTTGCTTTTTTTTTTTCCATGTAAAGTGTGAAGTATGAATCCAATTTATTTTTTCAAAACTAAACAGCAAATGAGATCCAATAATAAGAAAATAGAAGCAACATATATTATGGAGTGAAGTGAAAGCAATACTTAAATCATAGGCTCAAGTTTATATTAGAAGACAGACTCAATTAGGAATTTGTTTCCAATTTGTTAGTAAAAGAATACAATATGTCCAATAGGAGGAAATAATTAATAAAAGTAAAATAAAATTAATGAAATAGGAAATAAATATTTACAAGAAAGGATTAAGAAATATAAAATTTGGTTTTTTGAAACTACTAATAAATATGCAAAACTATTTGAAAGTTCAGTTAAAGGAGAGGAAATACAAGTAAACTATTAACAGTGCAAAAGAGGCAGTAAAGGAAAAAATGATGATTTTGTGTTAACAATTTAAAAATAGGATATACATATTTCTAGAAAAGCCAAACTGTTTAAGAAGAAACAAACAAAAAAACCTGAGTGGTTAAAGACTACTCAGTATATAATTTCAAATCAGTAATTAAAACCCCACTCTCTCCTCAATCACCTACCACCAAAAGGTAATTCACTAAAATGGAAAAGATATCCCAAAATCCCTACCACACTCAGATGGTATTTTTTTAAAAAAAGATGTATTTATTTTTACATACAAGACTGGGGTACAGGCCAGTTACTTTAAGTATGTGCAAGAGGGTGAGAGGATTCACCAGAGACATAGTGGGGAACAGAACAGGTAGACTAGCCAAAGTACACTGCTGAGGGGAGCAGTGGGCGAGACAGGAGAGGTCTGCCGCACCATGTGGGTATCTCCCTGGCTGGCCGGGCTCAAACCCACACTGCAGAAGCTGCTGACAGTTTCACAGTGTGCGCTCAACCACCTGCGCCACCAGGAAGGCCCAAGATGGTTATACATACAAGTTGTATGATACATTGGATAATCCAGTCTTGCATAAACTCAGAAAGAGGGAGTACTTTCCCTTGATGTTTCATTCATTCATTCATTCATTCATTCATTCATTTACATTTGGTATGGCCTTACTACTAGAATCAGGTAAGGTAGAATGCAGATACTTTGTGTATATGTCTATATGATGTCCGTGGCTTAATATTTTAAAACTTATTGATGCGGTTCAGCATATATAAGCCAAGAATTCTCTTATCTCAGGAGATGCAGTCAAAGCATTTTTAAAATTCAGTCATTTTTGGCAAGAATTCTTAATAATTATGAATAGAAATGAGTTTTTTAATCTTTTGAAATTCCATAGTTTTTGTGAAATTGTAAGATTATGTATATTTTTTGATGTAATTCAAAACAACAAAACCTTATACTTTTTCTGCATTGTACTCATGTTCCAAGACAGCAGCGTAGGACAGAGAAATCAAAGGGCAGGATTTGAAGGGAAAAAGCTGAAATTTTATTTATAGATGATGCTTACAATGTACATACAGATTAGTAGAATAAAAGTTAGGAAAGTTCCTGGAGTTAGGATCAAAATATAAAGATTAATCACTCTTAGAACAATAGTTAGAAAATATAATTTAATAAAATATATATAATAAAAAGGTACCTCTGAACAAGTCCATAAATATTTAGTAAGAGCTTTGCAAAAAATTGAAAGCTTTATTGAATGACATTGAAAATAGTGAAATAAAACCCAAAAAATATTAATGGAGAGATCAGTTTCATAAAAGTGTCTTTCCCCAAAAAGTATTAATCCAAAATTTCACATGCCAAGCAAGATTTTAATATCTTTTAATTGTGTCTTCACATGGATGTGGAAAAGAGCAAAGGGCCTTAGGAAAACATGGATTGATTTGCCCTATGAATAGTAATTTATTAAGAAAGCTAATCATAAAAGTATGAGCTTCACTGGTGTAGATACATGTACTAGCCTGGGCAGCTGAGAAATAGACTATAGTTTGCACACACATACACACCCACACACACACATATGATGAAGCTGGGATTGTAGATCAGTAAGAAAAGGGCTAAGTAAGTTTATTAGGACATTGGTTAGTCATATGGGAAAAGTAAATCATCTCTCCTTTACCTACTACAGAAAAATCACTTTCTATAAGTGACTTCACAAATAAAATTTGGGCAAAACAGTACATTTTGGGAAAATACACATCCTGTGATATCATTTTTAAAGATAAAAAAATACCAAACAATGTCATCTATTTCTTGATTTTATGTTAAAAAATATAAAGATGACATTGGGTTTAGGATTGTGTTACCAAATGTTGGAAAAAGGTAGATTATACAGGGAGATTAGCAAGGATTTTTTAATTTTTTAATCTGAATATGTGTGAATATTCATTAAAAATTCTTTATGTGACTTAGATATTTTATAAGTTTAAAATAAATTCAGTTGTTTTTTCAAATTGACCTTGTCTGGGTGGACTGCCTTGATTCAGCTTACTAATTTCCTTTGGAAAGTAAAATGTCCTCACTCATACCCCAGCCAGCCAACCAGCAAGATAGGCACAGGCATCTGAGACGCATAGTGCATTCTGGGATAGATTAGTTAATCCCATCTATGTCTCTGTCTCTTCTGTGTAATGGGAATAATTTATTTTACATATCATTAAGAAGTTTTCTGAACCCACACATATATAATTCTTAGTATATCATATGGTGTAGCTTTTAATTCCAGTATAGATTCTAGAATTTGTATACTTCTTTACTTAAAGTGCTGTTAAATGTCATTGATTCTTTCTAGTTTTAATTTTTCCAAATATACCATTTTCTTTTATTGCTCCTCTGTCCCTTTCTTGAACCTTTTGCAACCCTTAGGATTCGTTTTTCTGTATTACTTTTCTGCAAGCTGCCTCAGCTGATGGGGCAGAAGTCATTTTGAACAATATAAGAAGCCAATGGTAGTTCAAATTCATTTGTGATTTTCCTGTCAGATTGTTGTTCTGACTGCTTTATGGTTTCTTTGAAACCACAGAAGTTTAAAAAAAAAAAAGTTTACTCCCTAATCATATTGGTCTGATCATAGGTGATTTTATAATTTTAAATTCATTTCTTTAATTGGCTTCATGTTACTAAACTATCTTTGACCTTTTCTTATTCCCTTCACCTCTCCCCACCCCACCCCCACCCCCAGGCCTCAGAAACCTAACTTTGTCTATTAGTGTCCCTTCGTTTTGATAATTGGCAGTAATAGATTGCTTTACTGACCTTGGCAAATTCTTTTCATAAATACCTGCAACGTTGAGTTATTTAGGCTATCATTTCTCTGTCTACTCCTTATTTTGATTCTTTTTCTCTTCATCTTTTGCAGTGTACTTTTAAAGTATGTCAGCGTGCATACTTTAAAATAGAATTTAATGCTGTACATCAAAACACCTTTATTCTCTAGGGTGCTGTGGCTTTGATAATTGCTGAATTAAGGTTTCCTCTTTTGCATTTTCTTTTTTCTGTTGTTTTTTCCTTAAGAATTTCCTGATTTGGGAACTTTCAGATTTTTAGACAATAAAAAGAAAAAATTTAATCTGAAAATAGTTATGGTAAAAATTCTTCCAATGGATATCTCAACTCAAAATATAGTATGGTGAGATCATCGAAACATCAGCTCCTGGTAGGTTTATGACTCACTGTCAGGAGTTCCTAACCTTTCTGTAGAATCGTATGTACAGATGTGCACGTGTGTGCACACAGAGATGTGTCATGACCATGTGTGGGGTGGACCTGCTCTCCTTGTAGGTGGCCCAGTCAATGCCCCTTGCTCATGGTGTGGGTTTTTTACTTGAGTAGGTATCCCATGTTGAAAACATAGAAACACTGTTTTTGCTGTATCCTTCAGGTCGAATCCGCACGAGACGGCAGAGCTCTGGGAGCGCCACCAACGTCGCCTCCACACCTTCAGATAATCGAGGCCGCAGTCGCGCTAAAGTGGTTTCACAGTCCCAGCGTAAGAAGTATATTTTATGCTCTCTGTTATCTGAAATTTTATTCAGCAGCTGAAATCTTTGCAGTATGTATGTTGATATAAGGGGAAAACACACTTCTCGGACTAAAATACCATGAGTAATCTTGGTATTTGTTGGGTAAGCTTACAAAATAGAATACTTAAATGTACTTTGTCTCCTGTCCAGGTGATTTAAGTTTTGTATCATTAAACATTAAAATGTAGTTTTTCTCCCTCTCTTCAAGCCTCTCCAGTTGAAGCATATCTGGAATGTGATCTGTTTTTGTATCGATAAAGAATCCTTCTGGTGTAATTTCAGAGCAGTACCGGGGGAGATTACTATTATTGCTCAGTTCTGTTTCCAGTGGTAATAAGTAAATCCATTGAAACTCTCCTCTCTAACCCTCTGTTCTCATATTTGCAATCTGCTTCTTTCCTCTTACTAGTGTGGGTGCTCGCCTTGCCCTGCTGCCCTTGCTTCCATTATTGCTTCTCTGTGTATGTTGAGTCAGTTGGTTTGACAGCCTTAGCCATGAAAGCAGCCGTGGCTTGGATGAATATCTTCTGATGACTCTTAGGATCCAACACTGGGATCTTACTTCCCAGCTACACATAATTCTGTCACTTGTACCCTCTCTGTGCATGGACCATATAGCTGGGTGTCAGAGTTCTGGGCAAAGTGAACATGGCAGAGAAAGTCTCCTCTTCCCCAGGAGCTGCATGAGTTCCCTCAGCACAGCACTCCAGCTGGTGTGGCCCTGAGGGCTGTCTGGGGTGTGTAGAGAGCACTTAGTGCAAGGCTAGACCTTAGGTTCTTCCTTAGTCTTCCCAGTGTCTTTCTCAGCCTCTTTTAAATTTAGATACATGTAGTCTCCTTCTTCAAAAGCTTTTATCTTCTCTGAGAAGGAAGCATAAGATTTGTCTCATTGATGCCTTCAGTGGGGCTATAGAACCTGGGCTTGTCTGACATAGAAGCCCATGCTTTCAGTGCACTGCACGGCGCAATACAATGTGGGTTGTATAGATAAGTGCCCAGAAACTTCTATTTTGGGAGCAGCCTGATTCTGATGATTCTTTTGAACTCTAACGCAGCCTGGAGTCACAGATAGACTTAATACTCCAATCATGACCTCACATATGTGGGTCAGCTCTATTGCAAAGAAATTCTTGACAAAAGTGCCCATGACTCAGAATATAGGTCAGATGTTGAAATTGAGTTGACTAAAACATGTCTAGACCTTTAGCTGTGTGGTGTTGTTTTCTTTCTTGGAAAGTAAGGGTAGAACAGTATTATATCTCTTTGTTTACATCTGATGTTTATTGGCCTCTAAGGGGGGTCTCTGCCCCTACCTGACTCCTCTGTTTATTAAGTAGTGAAGATTAAAGCTTCCTTCTGTAGGGGGTTGGGGAGAGGCATGGATGATGATAAAGCTTTAATTATTCAGGTTTATAAAACCACTGCACCCTGCCTTGGGTCTCCACTTTAAAAACACTTCAGTTTTACTCATTGAATTCCACCCACAAAGGGGGGAAACAACACCAGCAAATGATAAAGCCTGGGTCTTAAATCTATGCATGTAAATCATTTTTAAAAAATTATTTTAATAAGAGCTGTTTGCACATACACTTCTAAGTGTACACTAAGCATTCATAGTCCTGGTTTAATAAGTACATTTCATTAACATTGGACTTAGGATCCTTTAGTGTTGATGTATTTGAAATATTTGAGAAATTAGCACATGACATTCAGGTGAACCTAGTTAATAGCAGTTTTAATTTACTGAGCACTTTTTTGTGGTAAGCACTGTTCAAGGTGGCAGTGATACCCAAATGGATGAGATGTAATCACTTCTCAGGTTGCTCAGAGCTAGACAGTCATGTATTCCTGGAGCGTAAGGCCCAGCTCCTAGATGTAGCATTTGCCTTGATACAGGCAGGTTTATAAGTAATATATGAACAGATCTGAAGCAGATGCTAATATAGTATGATAAGTGTTAAGTAAACATAAGCATAAAAGTAGTCTAGGAGGATAAAGACTAATTTTGCCTAATGTGTTTGTGAACAAAGACATTTGTGTGGTGTTGCATGCTGACGTTCTGTATTGTGTTATTGTCTTTTAATCTACTTTTTGCCTGTCCTTTGGTCTGCTCTCATAATCAAGGATCCAGATCTGCTAATCCTGCTGGTGGTAAGCCATTTCTCTTCTTGCTTATTTTGCATTCTTCCTTGCCCCATATTCCTTGCACAGTATTAATTTTTCTTTATTATGAGCTTAGCTAATCTTTCTGCATTTTTTGTTGTTCAAATTCTAGCATTTGAAATGGATTTCTTTTCTTCTTTTACACAGACTATGGTAATATGTACTGGTGAATTTTGCAATGAATTTCACTTTAAATTGTAGTTAAATTATAAAATACTGATTTTTGTGGGTAGTCACCTTAGTTTATGTAAATGATGGTGGTATGTGTGTTATTTTGTTATTTCCAGGTAAGTGTTATTTCAAAGGTATTTTTTTTTTTTTTTAAAACATCTGGGACATTCAGTTCTAGCATATAATGTGTATTCTATGTTTTAGAATTTTGTTGCCTTCTCTGCTAATGGCAATCATCTAAATAAATGACTGCCATTAGGATCCTTAAAACTTCGCTGTTTTCTCTACAGGAGACTTTTGTCCCATAAGAAATGGTCTTATAGCCATTAATAAATGTAGTTAACCATATTGTTTGTTTTTAATTTCTGCTTGCGTATATCACAGGGAATATGGTCTATGAGATTTCTATTTCTGTAGATTTTGGAGATTTCCTTTGATGTTTAACACACAGTTGATTTTTATAATATTCATATCTGGAAAAGTGAAAATAATGTGTATTCTGTTTGTTGGTATATATACAGATTTTTATGCTTTATATTTCAAAGCTATGGTATTTGAAGCTTAAAGAGTTGATTACTGACGCTTTATGGACAATTACTTTTATCAAAATGCCATATCCTTGCCCCTTTTTAATGCTTGTTTATTATTTTTTGTTTAGGTATGAAGTTCATTTCATTTTTTAAAAAACCAATCCAAGAATCTCCGTCTTATGATAGGTTAATTTAATCCAACCACATTTGTCATTACTAATATATTGCATTGAGCTTATTCCTGCCATCTTATTTTGCGATTTTTATTTGCCATTTTTCCAGTTATTCCATCCCCCCTTTTCTTCCATTTGTTGGATTAATGGAATTTTCTTGGATCCATTTTCTTCCACTACTGTTTAATCAATTTGTTGTATTAGTATTTCTGCTCTTCTACCAGTTACACTTAACTTTTTGACCATATTAACTCATATAACAAAAAACAAAACAATAAATAAGCACCTTTGTGATTATTTGTAGAAATTTGCTTTGAAACAGGGAGTCTTGTACTTAGTCTGCCCTTTTGAATAAGAAATTTTGCATGTTTATAGAACTTTCCTAGTAATTCTATGTAGATTCTTTTATAATTTGATATTTTTCTATCCTTGTGTGTTTCTTAAGAATTAGCATTGCCACCAACTGAAAAGCTATTTTCATAAAAAATTCTCTTAGTGTTTGGGCCAAATTAATGTTTATAGAAGCTTCCACAATTACTGTATTTATTCCCTTGTTTACATCCGTTGTTTATATTTGTTTCGCTTCACTTTTAGCTGGTAGCCGGTCAAGTTCTCCAGGGAAATTGTTGGGAAGTGGTTACAGTGGCCTTGCTGGGGGTTCCTCAAGAGGCCCACCTGTGACACCCTCTTCAGAAAAACGAAGCAAGATTCCCAGGAGTCAGGGATGTAGCCGAGAAACAAGTCCAAACCGAATAGGACTAGGTAAGGATTCTCAAAGATCTCGGAATACCATTCCCAACTTTGTCATAATTTTGATTATAATCTAATGACTTTGTCTTAATGTAGGAAACAGAAAATCTACTTTGAACTGAGTTAAAACTCCGTTTCATGATTATGGCATATTCAGGTTTCAGTTAAAACTGGAAAATGTGTGATACTTGCCATTCAGATTCATGGGAATTACATCACTGTGGAGCTTTTTATTTTTATGGTTACTTTGCCAATATTACAATTGGGAGAGTGGGCAGGAGACTTTTTTTCTTTGACTAATTAGTATTAATTAATTAAAATCTCTATAGACATTTCAAGACCAAATTGTATGATCCACATTTATTTTGATTTTAATCTTCTCTAAACTGATTGATGAAACTTATAGCCAAAGAATAATACGTACAACTCTTTTGACATAATATTGTTCAAACATAAAACTAAGAATAGTTGAAAAATCAAATATATTGTATTTGTTTTTGTGCTGTAGTATTTAGTTTCTTTGTAAGTGAATAAAACTATATGAATTACCCTCAGTAGCTTAAGGACCTTTTACCCAAAATCTAATTGGTATGCTATCTTTTTAATACAGATGTTGGAAGTGTTTTTATCATACATTATGAAATAACTATGTTCACCTATTTTGTTTCCTAATGATAAAAATCTGTTAATGTGAAGTTGAGTACTTTAGTTCTGTTGGCTTATCTTTCTTATTTATTTATCTTCTCAACAATTTTTACTTGAATATTTACTGTGATATACCAGACCTTAGAATTAGAGAATAAATAAATTTAGCTTCTGACTCTGAAAGAGTTTGTGTGCTTAGAGGTAGAAATGTGACAGGGTGCTCTGGGACCATAGAGAAAGAATTGTCTTAGATTTCCTACTAGGAGAGACTTTCTGGCACAGCTTCTGTTTTGATAAAGTACAAGGTGGCATTAGGCAGGGTTGGGTAATGAGGGAGGAAGGTGAGCAGTCAGACAAGAGGAGGCAGCATCTGCATTCTGGGAGTCACAAATAATTTATCTGGTTTTGGCAAAAGAAGTTTGTCAGGGTACCTGGGAGAGTAGGGCAAAAGAGACTGAAAGTTTCAGCTCATGAAAAGCCCTTGGAGGTTGCTTGAGCTACAAGAAGGCAGGGACAGGTATTTAAGTAGAATGGTTTGACTCACATTTTCTAAGCAAATGAAAACTATAATCAAGCAGTGGTTTTGTTAATTCTTTATGATGCCAATTTTCTGTTGATTTTACATACCTGTGAACTGATACATTTTTGGATACAACCGAAGAAAATAATCACTGAAATATCTTAAATTTCAAATTTGATATTGTAACATATCTGTGTTTAGGTTTGGTTTTGTTTGGAAAATTTATTTGATTGGAAATGTAGGCATGAGGTTTCAGCTATTCTTTTTCCATAGTTAATTGTTGAAGTTTATAGACTTGTCACTTGTCAATCCAGATTAGGTTAATGCTGTTAAAAATTCTTTTTAGGGATTTTACTTTTTATATTTACTCAGATTACATTCGTACTTCACATTGTTAAATAAACCAACTTTGGTTGTCTAACATAACTATAAGTCCTGATACTCCAGTCTTAACTATGGAGTTTGTGTTGTAGGTAGTTGAAAAGGTAGCATTTAATTAGCTTTTAAAAGAGGCACTGTGAAACATCAGTAAGAACTAAAGAGAAATGTATTCCAGATTTTTATTACAATTAGTGTTTTGCAGAATATGATTTCCTCAATGCTCATTAAGGGGATTGGTTATGTGTAAAAATTTGAGGTCATACATACAGTTCTGATTAATGAAGATATAGCTATACATTGTGAGAATATATGTATATACAGATAAAAAGAGTGTGTGTGTGTGTGTGTATAAATATGAATAAAATAGCGCTGCCATTTCTTCCCATAGTACTCCTTAGATATTCCATTTTATGTGATGTCAGATATATTAGTATTTGTCAGCAGTAGATTATGTATGAATCTAAATATTTTTTCATTGCATGGCAACTTTCAATGTAATTGTTCAAAAGGTAGAGAATGAGAGAGCATCTTTCAAGAATATAATTCCCAAACCAATGAATAGTTTATAAATTAGGCTGGGGATTTGCACTGATAATTCTAACTTTCTATAGATTGTGTTTGCTTCAATGATGTAGTTTGTTTGAAATAATTTGGAATTTCCTAATGAAATTTTCCTTTCTCACCTGTGATAAAAACACAAGATTCTTCTTCAGTATTTAAGATTTTTTAAACAAAATGGGATATAATTACTGTTGGAGAGCCAAGATATAAACAAAACTCTGTGACTCTTTTTTGTTTCTTGGCAGTTGATTCCTTCATAAACTGTTCAGTCAAGTGGAAGAGTAGATTTGTAAATTGTTTCATTGTTGTATTTCATTCTGGTTTTGACTGATAATAAAGTCACATAAATAGCTCTTTTCTATAACAGATATATTTTACAAGTTTGCCTTTGGTTCCCTTTTTTCTCCTAATCATCTATTAACAACATTATAAAAAGCGTTTTGCAGCTTACATTCTGTGGAAATACATTTAAAATGCTTTCAGATTAAAAATATTTGGAAATAATTAAAAATTAATAATCAGCTTCAGCTATTAATTTGGGCTGTGTGTACAAGACCAAAACATGAAACTACCTGGGTTAAAGAGACTTCTTGTCTTTAACTTCTGTTAGTTTTCATTATTCCTTTTTACTGCATTTTGACATGAGTTCTGATAAGACCCTTCCTTAAAAGGCAAAGTCAGGATTTTTACCTGAAAATGCTATAAAGATAGTGTCTCTCTCAGGAAATGAAAACCAATAAAATTGTTTTCAAGGCTTCCCAGTACTTTCCAGCATTTTAAGTTCATGACTCCAGCGCTACCTAGGAATACTGTTTTTAGAAAGTTCAAAGGGACGAAGGTTTTTTTTTAAACTCTCCCTCTTCTGGCATGCCTTCTTCCCACTGACATATTCACGTGTAGAACACTCCTTTTTGCCACGCTAAAGAGACAGGTGGATCTGTTGTATTGTTTTTTTAGTTGTGACCACATTATTTGGTCTTTGTCAGTACCTTTATTTCTATGCTTATCTTGGGGTTTCCTTGTAGATTGGTGTTTTGAAGTGTTGTTATAAGGCAGTGTGTTTTTTTCTTGTTGCGTTTTAAATTATCCAACATTTGAATTATTGGTATCACCACCACACTAGATGTACTTTTATGAGGTTTGGTGCAACGAAGGGCTAATTTTTACAAATTATAAACAACTCTTCTTCCATGGGTTACTATTTGCCTTTATGTTTAAGAAGCTAGTCCACAGGAACATGGGTGAATGAACTTTCTCTAAGGGAAATACCACAAGGTAAACCTTGTTAAGAATTTAAACATACTTTTACTTCAGCTATATCTCTTTATCCCTCTCTATGCTCTTTGTCTGCACAAAGCAGGCTTAGTGTGGGGAGAGAACGGAGATAGCAAGCATGGTAGCAAGCGTGTTAATTTAAGGAAGAGTGTGTGAGCTGGGGAAAAATTCAGAAACAACTTGGTAACAACTGTTAAGAAAATGCTCAACTAACCAGACACACATGTGATAGAACCATCAGTACTGTTCTTACTGCTTTCTGATTATTTGTTTGTAGTGGGCAGTGAAATAAGACAAGATCTTCATGTATACCCTTCAACAAGGAACTCAGAGTTAGTTAAGTGTGTACACTATCTTACAATTCCTTTCTCCTTTAAATGATGGGACTCCTTCCTAATCTTGCCAAGCAGAGGCTGAAAACCAAAGAGCCTGAGTGGCTGAACCATTGAGTTAGTGTGGAACTGGAGAGGTCATTTCATCAACTAGATGAAATGCTGATGAAAAGCTGTATTGCTTGATAGATTCTAGGCAACGTCTCGTCTATTGGTGTTAGTCACTAGATACTCCCCTCCTTTTGTCCTTTTGCCCTTATTGTAGGAGCTGTTTAGAATGTTACCCAGAATTGCTGATTAAATAGTTGCTGCTGCTTTGAGTGAATACTCAGTGCTTACATGTCACTATGACAAAATGAAGGCATATTTAGGACTTACACAGGAATCCCAAATAAAGCCCTGTTTCCACTGATTTATTTAGATGATAAATTCCTGCTCTTAATCTTTCTGTGTTTGCGAGGGAAGACTTAACCACTCAGACCTACTCATACACCTTTATGGTCAATAATTCAGCTTCTCACACCCAGCAGGAAGTTGGTTTGATTTTTTTTTTCACTTCTATATTCCTCTTTAGCAGGGAGTGTCATTGTTCTGGTTTGTAAGACATTGTGTTATGTAGTTTGGCCGTACAGTAAATCTACCTTTGCTCTGAAATAACAGGCTGCCCTTGTTGCAGTATAGTAAACATGACTGTTGTTACATCAATGAATAAAGTTTATTTTTCCAGAATTTCCCGGAAAGATATTTCTGTCTAGAAAAAGTAGCTCCTCTCAAGATGGAAAATATTTATTGTCCCCATTAACTATTGCACATTTAGTATACAGAGTTGTTTTGGGGTATTTTGCCAGTGCTGTTTTTAAAGTAAATTTCAAAAATAAGGGCATCATGGCCTTTTCTTAGCTTCATAGCCACTTCTAGTAGACCTTAGACTATTCCTGTGACTCTCTGTGTTTTATGTGAGAATAATCGAATTATTCAAGAATGACAAAATAATTGGCCAGTCTCAGGTCAGTGGAGGGATCTTTTGACATGAACATTGGAATTATCAGTGCACATTATATAGACTCATGTGTAAGGCCGGGTAAATGAGGATACTCAAGTGGGGAACACAGGCAGATCTTTTTGGATTCCGTGAAAAAAGGAGGGATTCAGTGTTGGGACCAGTAAATGAAGGGATAGCAGTCCCAACTCTTGTGTCTGTGGTATTACATCACTAAATGTTTGAAACATCTGCACTTGTACTTGTGTGGGTGGGCTCAGTAGCCACGTGAGTACTATGACTTCTTTGTAAAGAAGGTTAGGCTGAGAGGGGGTGACCCTCTTCCTTCTGACTAGGTAAGTTCATGGACTTCAGTGACCCTAGAGCCTTTATTCTGTTTTTTAATCTAAATTTACTTATCTCTCTAAGAATCCAGCCTATATGAAAAATGGCTTCGGTCTTCTGTGCTCTTATTGAGAAGTTTGCTAAAGCCATAAAAACGGATCATTTTGTAAGACGTTAGATCTTGTATTTTCTGATGCCATTTCTGATGATCTTTGGAAAGCTTTCTTTTCATTTCTTACGTTTTGATGTTATTTCACCCTCATGCTAAAATTCAGCAGCTTTCTGAGGCATTGAGCATAATGGAGTGTCTCTCTAAAGCCTCTCCAGTTGCCATGGCAGTCCGTGGGAGCTCAATGTGGACAGGTGCTCGGTCTTCAGAACTCACATAGACCGTGTCATGATTAGATTTACAGAATGTAACTGACCTTTTGTGAGTTTTTCTGTCTTCATTAAACTTGTTCACCTTCTCTGAAACCCTTCATGCTGCACGCTAGCACGGAGCAGCCGTATCCCTCGACCCAGCATGAGTCAGGGGTGCAGCCGCGATACCAGCCGTGAGAGCAGCCGAGATACAAGCCCTGCTCGGGGCTTTCCTCCACTTGGTGAGTACACGTAGGTGCTGACTCGCAGAGCCAAGACTTCCTTTCCCTGCTCCAAATGCTTGTCCACGACACTGCTAGGTGGAATGACCCGCTTTCCCTCTCTACTGTCCTTGTGATCCTTTCTTCTTTCTCTCCTCTTCCTTAGTTACCCTTTGTTGTCCCCCCTCTGCATGCTTGAATTTTGGCAGATTTCAATTTTTATATATTAGAGGAAAAAAGCACCACTTCACTCTGTACTGTTGTCGTTAATGGCCACTTGCTACCACGCAAGCCCCTCTGTGTGGTAATGCCTAACAGAAGGTGAACCTAGCCAGAGTCAATTGCTGCTTAAAAGTAGAGTTATCCTTAGTCATGGAATTTCTGCAGTTTGTTTTTATTTTACCTGAGATTAGTCATATGTGATTCAGTTCAACCAAGGAACAAAATCACTCAGTGCGCTCAAAAGCATGATCACATTTAGGAAACTCAATGTGCTTAGTTTAGGGGCGATAACAATCTGAAAAGCCGCATGAAGGAAGATATGAACCACGCAAAGCTTTCTTCAAAGCAATCTAAAAACTTTCTGATATACTGCTGAGGTGTGCAGCACAACACGAAACTTTGACATTCATTGTTAATTATTCAGATATTTTCATTCTTCCTGGGCTCAATAGGCTATTTAATGTCTGTGACCTGATACCATCCTAGGACAAAAAAGATGTAAATATTTGGATACTATGAGGTGTTGTAAGTACCACATCTCAGCTCACCAGCTGAATGCCAATTGGGGCTGTTCATTCCCCCCACCAGCAACAGTTGTTTTATAGCCAAAACTTGTATTTTAATAATATCAGGGATTCAAGAAAATTAAGCCAAAAAGTGAAACATGTATCCTTTTTGAAATATTATGTTTATCTTTTTAGTTCGAATACATTTAATATAGGTCTATTTTAGAAAAGTTTGCACTTTCACCTGGTATAAATAATCTTCAAAGACAACTATCTCACATGCTTTTGCAAGAAGGAAATGTTTTATATTTGTCAGTAGTAGCATATTAGTTCTTTGGCATATTAATGGCTATACAGCTATATATTTTTCTCTTGCTAAGTGTAACAGGCACACATACAACGGTGGAAGAAAAAAAGTACTTCATCTTAAATAAAAATGTTTGTAACAATTAGGCCTCTAGCTGAAATTATATGGAACTATAGACTGCAGCAGTGTTATTTTGGATCTAATTATGTGACTGGTATTTTAAATGTAAAAATGTCACTACAGAAGATGTATGTTAACATCAAAAGAGTATGGTCTTCATTTGCCTCTACCTCCTTCTGATGTTACACACTTCTTCCCAGTACCTTTCTTTTTCCTCAATCAGTATCAGTAGTTAAAATCTAGATAACTTTATGACTTTCTGTCCCTTATGTAGCTCTGAGGAAGGACAGGTAAAGAGACCCAGAAGCCCAGTTAGAAGAATTGCTTGACGTAGTGAAAAGATACCTGTGTGAGATAGTCTGTCTTGTCAGCATAACCTGAGTGGGCAGCGTACCTGGTGCATGTAGCAGTTCCACAGCAATCTGAAGCATTTGAGCAGAATTCTCAGCAAATCAGGGGTGGCAATGATGATCTTTTTCTGATTGAATTGGTGATTTTTCCTTTTAAGTAAAGGCTGTATATCTATGCATCCTTGCTCACTATTTTACCTTCCAAACAACCTGTTAATATAAATGAACAATTCTATCTGCATATTGGTTATTTTATCTCTTAGAAGCAATTCAGTGTCTGTATCTCATACATGTATGGGTATTTTCATTACTGTCAATGAAAGCAGCTTTTGTAATCCAGCATGTGGTCTATGGACCCTGTGAGGTGTGCTGAATTTTGGGGGTCCTCATTGAACCCTGAATCGTTCAGTGACCTAGTCTGTTTTTCACTCTCTGTGGTGAAATGAATCTGCTAAGTGTCTGCTTAAGAATGTTGCCATGTAAAATGCTCCCGAGGCAGAAGACGCGGATGCACATTTCTTCCTAACAAGCTCCAGCATCAGCATGTGCCTTCTGTTGTGGTCAGGCAATTGTTAACATCTTTTGGGCTGTTTTTTTATACCATGCCTTTCGCCCCCTCCTCGGGTTAAAGCTGTGCCTGAAACTGTTGTCCAGCAAGAATAACAACAGTGCTCCTGTGTACCTGACACCGTTCTGAGAAATCATTAGGCATAATCCTTTGTGGTACCTGTTCACCTTCTGGGATGGCTATTGTCATCCCTCTTCTACAGATGACACACAAAGCAGAGACTTTTTTTCACTTTTATCATGTCACACAGTTAAGTAGTAGAACCAGGTTTTGAAACCAGATCTGACTTCAAAACCTAGCTGTTGCCTTGCCTCATTGAAAGCAGGTCTGTTAATTCCATGTCTTTCCTTTATTCCTTTTAAATGTAAAAAGTGCTCACTCTGACTCAGTGCTCTCTTCTGACTATGGCACATAGAAAGTACTGGTAGATTGTGTAAGTCATGAGTTCTAGGTTCAGAATTAGGACCTGAGGATTCAAAGTTAAGTCCTCTGAGAAGGTGGTTGTCCTCAGAGGAATTTACTACACCCTTCAGAGAATGTGTGGCATCCCTTTCATTCATCTTAGTAATCACTTTTTACTTCCTTTATAAATTAGTGAGATTGTGTATTAGTGCCCTTTAAGGCAACTTATATAGCCATCCTTAACTTTATAAAAGGATGAAGTTGTTTCAGTTTATATATATCGGTACTAAGGTTGCATTTTTATTACAAGAGTGTTTTGGATCTTTTAAATGGTGTGAGTATATGTTAAATGGTTATAGTGATAACTTTTAAATGGAATTACAGGTTCTAAGACTGTTATTAATCAGACTGTGGTGTAAGTGAGTCTGCCTTGGATTCCATTGTTGGGTACTCACCTGCACATATGACAAAGGACTACACAGTTTTACTGTAGAATATTCTGGTGAAACAGAACCAGTGGACAACTTTATAAGGGGTCATGATGTCAGGTATTAGTTAAAAGCTATTTTCAGTTTTAAACTATGTAGATACATACTGATAAGCTTATATAATAAATGAATAGTTTGCTTTAAGTCTGAACAAAATGTCTCTCCAACTCCTTCACTTAAGGCAAATGATAATTTTATAGTATGTTTTAGAGATTGCTGATTTATTTTTGTGCATCTTGAGGAATGAAGACTTTTCTTATTTTCTTTACTCTTTGTAAGTTGGTAAAAATTTGTCCCTGTCCTTATGGGCCAGTAACTGTTATTTTTTAATAACGCATGTACCACAGGTGTGTGCATTCTACAAAGTGACATGAGCTTTAAATAAGATTATATTGAAGAGCATGAGGTTTTGCTATTTTATGACTAAACGTGCAAAGAGTGTACAGAATCCTAGTAGTGTGCATAGTTTGGGTGAAGGTAGCACTGCTGAGTGTAACTTGGTTAAACCTACAAATTATTTCGGATATGGTCACCATCTTTTCAGAGTAATGAATAGAAGCATATTATTATATACTTTTCCTGACGTAAAGAAAAATCATATCACATGGAACTCTGGTCAGTAAATCAACAGTTTGAACCAAGTATATATTGCACAGTTACTTTTAACAGTTATTCTTTCCACACAAGGATGAAGGTTAGCATATATTTCTTCAGACTTAGGAATTTGCTTGTTGTGACTACTTGCGAAAATAATCCTTAATGTCTGAATGTAAATGAATTTCCTTTTAACCAATCCTGCTGCCAACAGCACCGCCAGCCCTACTATGTTACTGCCACTGTTTCCTTTGTGCCTGTCACCATTTTATGTGCTTTATATACGGTCTCTTAATTCTCTTAACTTTCAAGAGGTAGGTACCAGTATTTGTACCATTTTATAGATGAAAAAACTGAGAAACAGAGCAATTTAGTACTTTGCCCAGTGTTCTGAAGGTAGTGGCACTCAAACCCGAACTTGCCCCCAGTGGTATTACCAGCCAGAGTACTGCTCCGACCAGAGACTGAAAATGCCTCTGGAAGGAAGGTTATCAAGCTTGTTATGACTCAGTTTCCAATACTGAAGTAACATATTCATTAGTAATTAGGATATTCATGCAACGAAACAACAGTTTTGACTGGGGGAAATGGAATCCAGTTGTTTAGCCCCCTTCTTGTGATTTCATTCTATTTCTGTTCAAATAGCATTATGAACTTCTATGCTTTTGTTTTTGGTGCATGGTTGCATATGCATCACACACTGATGGGACATCTCGTGAGCTGAGTTAATAATCCATCCTCCTGTTCCACTCTGAGGTGTAGACAATGCTCTGTGACTCCTGACCTTCATGTTGCATATTTCCATAATGGCTGCTAGAGGCTTCGTGGTGTGAACGTAAACCTGGAGTCTGTTAGGGAATGCACACATCGTATGAAACACCTGCAAGAGTGCCTTTGTTGTGCCTGTGTGTTTAATAGCTGTGTGAGAGCCAGCAGGCTGCCATGGAGTTTGGGGATTGGCACTTGCTTCCATTCATATCCAGCACCATTTCCTCTCATGAGAAAACATGCCTCGCTGGTAGCAGTCTCTGCATTTCCTTTGGACTGTGGCATTTTCTGTCTCAGTACTTCTGTGTTAACCCAGTGGGTGTTGCCGTTCCTTTTACCTGCAGCCTCTCGACGTCATTCCAGGTCCACTAGTGCTCTCTCCACTGCTGAATCTGTTGGGCAGTCAGGTGAACAAGTGCTCACTGCATGACTTGGCTTCTTCATATGTTCTAGTTTCACACTCATTTTAACATTTGTTTTCATCAGTGTTGGTTAGCACTTGGCATGTATGCACCTCATTTTTTTCTTCCAATGTGCTTTTGTTTTTTTAAGTTGTTGAATGTTTATGGTTCTGTTAATAGGCTGTAGATGCTTTATAGCCTGTTTCACAACCTCATTACTCCAGTGTCCATCTTTATGTTAAAGCAAAACAAAGCAAACAAGAAAATGGGCAGGCACATCTTCCCCTCTTCTCATTCCTTGCCCAAGGAAAACCACCACTAGAAGTAGGTATCTTGGAGGGTTCCTGTCAGGAACTGGGGTATGAATATCACCCAACAGAATCTTTTAGCTCTGAAGTGTTTGTTCCCAATAAAATGTTGATTTTTAATGTTAGTTGTTAGTGTCAGTTTCTAATTATTTAAAGGTACTCTTCAGTTACCAAATGCTCCAAAGTATAGTGTACATAGTTTCATATATTTGAAAATAACTGGATTGTGCTAAAATTCCTATGGAAAGACAGGATCACCATTCAGACAAAAATCAAATCAGGCCAAAGGTAATTTTTGCAGCCCATGCCCTCCAACTTTCCATCTCATCTCCTTTTAACATAATCCACTGCCTTTGGGACAAAAAGCAAGCATACAATAATGCAACAGTTTGCCAGTTTTAGCTGGCATTTTGATATGATATTTGTCCCCAATAATTAGTTTTCTTAATTGATTAAGCACAACCTATTAATATCACAGATTGTTGATGGTGACAACTGTGACCAATTCACTGAGTTAGGTATTTTCTTTTTTTCCCCTGTAAACAAAGTCAGTTCTGAGTTTCACTATGTATCCTCTGATTAGTACATTCCCTTGAAGATATGGGCCAGACCAAGGGCACAGTCATATGCATCCATCCTTTGGAAAATGGAATTTCTTGATAGTATCAGAGCAGTGAGAATATAGAATAGCTTTTGGCCTGGTGAAGACAAAGGCTTATAATTTTGTTTAGATCCAGACAAACATTTGCCCTTAAGATTTGAAATTCAAGTTATCTATGATCTACAGTAAATGATTTGTAGTCACTCTGTGTGGCAAAGCTGTAGCACTTGGGAAGCACAGAATAAATGCATTTTTCTTACAGTTTTAATTTTGTGTTGAAAATCAGTTATCCCTGAAGCAAGCAAGAATTGCTGGCATGAGATCTACTTTATTTTTTTTTTTTAGAATATTTTATTTAAGTTTATGCTGAGTAATTTTTAAATGGCTTATAACTGAATTATTTTCATTTTGTTATTCATAAAACTTTACTATCTACCCTTTTTTAATGGGAAAAAAAAACTTGAACAAGATCATTAATCAAACTATGTGTACAATAAATCTCAAATTTACACATTCCTTTATTTCAAATGATAAATTTATAGATACATGTAGATATACATATTATAGTTTTGTTGCTTTTTTCATTTATAGGGCACACTAAATCACCATGTAAACATAATTGGTGTATGTCATTCAGTATGATCAGTAGTGCATTAAAAAAGGGGATAGTATAACATACAATTTTTGTTTCTTTATGAAAATTCATTACTGTATATAACTTTTCTGATAGCAGTATTTAAGCTTTTTTCCCTTTTTATGACAATGGAAGGTGTAATGTTTTGAAACTGACATTTTAAAAAGCTGAAATAACTCTTCACGTTTAAAGATCACCAGTTTTATAGGTCATGCCTTATTACATATCTAAAAATTTAAATATATCACTTTATAGGAGAGATTAATTCATGTAAAACAAATAATAGTTTTCCTTTTACTTTAAATGCTTTGTTACTTGAATGTGAGTAATACAGAGATTTCCTTGTCTAAAAGGTCTTATGTGTTAAACAGAGATAAAATACTGTACCAGAGTAGTTCTCTGCCAGAGATTCTTTAAGCTTTAGTATTCTTTAAACCATCTAAACTTTTTAAACATTACCTCTTAAATCACAACTTTCTTATCCTTAATTGTGGTCCATTGCGTTTATTTTAAATAAGAAACTTTTTCCAGTAGGTAGTGGGATATAATTGTAGTTTATATTGACTTTCTCCTATTTCAGTTGCAATCTCAGCACTTCTTAAAGAAGGCTGTTAACTGACTTAATAGGGCTTTAAAGAGTGAGTATTCATTGTCCTCAATCTGAGTTACTACAATTTGTTTTAAATTATTTGGGTAAGATCCATTTCATTGATATGTATAAAGATTATCATTTAAAAATCCCTGGAGGGACTCAGGAAAAAAATTACACTAAATTAACTGAATGATTAATGTTTTGCAGTGAAGATGTTAGCTTTTTGATTATTAAAGGTTTTTAATTGATATTTAAATAACCTTTGGTGACAATAGACATGATGAATATCTAAGATTAGGTGTCCTTAATAATAGCTAACAAGTAGTGTTGCTAATGAACATCAGCACAAAGGTAAATTTAATACATTTGCTTCAGATGTTAACTTTTTTTCTAATTACATATTGCATTAGAACTCATTTATCAAACCTTCAGGCTTTCTAATCAATTTGCCCAAATATCAGGACCACTTGCCTCTACTGGGAACACTAATTAGATTAAAAGATTTAATTTATAGCCCTGATTCCTTCTATAATAAGTTTCCCCCTCTCCCATGTCTTGAAATTTGTCAATAATAAATTATTATTAAAGAGCCATTTAAATTGGCCGGATGCTTAGTGACAGGATAATATGAAATGTGAATAACTTAACCTCAAACACTGGTAAACAAATCAAGCGCAGTTAGAACTACAAGTCAGGCATAGTTAAAATTAACTGGAGATTTTTTCAGTGCCTCTGCCCAGTAGGTGGGAAGAGGCAGGAGCCCTTGCAGAGATTTGAGAAAATTTGAATTAAAGTGACATATCCTTTGCTTTTGTTTTTCAAATAGATCGATTTGGACTTGGCCAGGCAGGAAGAATACCTGGTTCTGTGAATGCCATGCGAGTTTTGAGCACAAGTACTGATCTTGAAGCTGCTGTAGCTGATGCTTTGGTAAGAGTCAAATGTGTGTAAGGTCTCTGAATTATTCACCTGCATTTTTCTGTCTTAGCAGGAAATTGTTTCAAAATCAGTTACTATATAAATTATCTTTGACACTCCTTAAAATTGTGTGAATAGTGGGTACGTTTATTTTATTATTGCTATCTTCTTAAACTTTTTAACATCTTTTTACATAAGTGAAAATTGGTCTTGCCCAGCATATCACCTTCAAGTGTTTCTTCTGTGTTCAAGGAAGTTTTGATGACATTGGACTTCTCTGATGTCATTGGGCTTCTTTTTTTCCTTTTATCCACATTTTTTCCAGTGTTTCCCTTTTCTCATTCTCTTGCTTCTATTGCTTTACAGGGTTTGATGGCATAACCTAAATATATTATTTTAACAGTGGGTAACAGAATTTGTGGTTTGAAAACCTTCTGTTTATCCTGTTACATCACTGGTTGTTCCATATGATTTTATGTTTCTTTATTTGTTTTAAATGTCATTATTTAAAGAAATTTTCCTGAATTTTGACATTAACTCTTTGAGGATGTGGAGCACTGATGGAATATGTTTTCGTTTCATTATAATGTAATATCTTTTTTTTAAAACAGTGGCTAGCTGTCCTTGAATTTGTGGTTTTAGCAAAAAGTTCCTTGGTAGAATCAGCCTGTGGTCATTTTGCTTTTAAAAGTACATTTCAGCTAGTAGTAAGACAGTTTCTTGCATATTCTGGTTGATGTGCTCAGCATTTAAAATAGATACTCTTTGGAACTGTGATTTGTGGCCTTGCTTGTGCTCTTTTACGATTTATTCTTTCCTAAGGGAAAGGTATTCTATATCCTGCTTTTAGACCCTGAATTTTAAAAACTTAGCCATGTTTTGTCTGCTCACAACTTTTAGTCTGTGTGGCTCCAGTGATTCTTTCATCCCTCCCATCTGTCATTTTAGTCTTGCTCAATCAGATTTCTTTGACAAAAGTATGAGCCAGCAGTTTGCCTCTTACATAATGCTTTTCCTGTAAGCAAGGTCTGTCTGCCTGACCAGCTCTATTCATCAGCCTTTCAATGAGAAGGGCTTTTTTCCTGACAGATACAGGAGTTCAGGATAATGGTTCTAACCATGACCTTAACTTAAGTGTTAGAAGCTAGAATAAAATTCTGTGAAGCTGTTTTTCCTTCCAAGTTGCATCATTTAGTATCTGTCTTATGTTTGTTCAGAGCCCCTAGGAATGGAGGTGACAGGGGTGGGCAATGATGAATGTGCAAAACCCTTTGCGAAATGGGATTTCTAGTTATGGCAGGAGAATTTCTTAGTTCTTTCAAGAAGGGAGGGTGTAAGGGACTGTATGCAAAGTTCTCGAAGACAGAATGGGTTTTGAGAGTTTGAGCCTTGGCTTTCCTTCACTTGGGCTTTGCTCTGAGCTCTCGCTCCCATTGCACTCCAGCTGCCCGTACTACTTTTTGCTCAAACTTCTAGTGCTCTGAGTGACCAGCCTCAGCCAAGAAAGCCCAGGAATGGTACAAGATCTCCTTGCCTCACAGGATAGAAGCCCAATAGGAGCAGACAGGTGGATCTTAGGAACAGACAACAGGATTAGTGGTGACCTTAGAGATCTACCTCAGTAGTGTGAAGAGCATTTTAGCCAGTCCTGGAAGGTCTGTTAAGTGATTTAAGAGGGAATGCCATTGTGAAAGCTTGCTTTATTATTATTCGCTTGATATGAATCGCTTGCTAACCTATATTTTTGGTTTGCTAAGATATGTTTTGCTGTACACTTTTGTTGCAAGAACAATCCCCACATATGCTTCTGACATAATTCTCTATGCTTTTTCCCCATCCTTCAATATTTTCCTGCCTACAGCTGTTAGGAGACTCCAGGAGCAAGGTACCAGTGCTTTAACTTTTGTTTTATAACTTTATTTTTTCTGTTGCAAGTATATTTCCTCTAGGAACTAGTGAAATCAACAAAAAAAAGTAGCATAGTATGGAAATTCTGATCTGAATTACGATTTTGTTGAACCTAGTGATGCTTTTATTAATGATGGAATCAGTCACCTTTCACTTTGTTGTAATGTTTATTTTGAATGTCAAGCTCTGCTCCTTCTATTAGTGTTTTGTTTTATTTATTAACCCACTGTGTGTCTACTGTGTCATTATTATTTCGTGGATGAAATTTATTCAACTTTTTTTTATTTTAGGAATCTAGTTTGTATGTAAATATGATGATTGTATAACTAATTTATGATCCTAACAAAGGATACTTCTGAGAGTGAAAGAAGGTGATAATAATCACAATGCAAAATAGGCTTAATAAGACAAAACTGTGCTGAGCAGATTGGGATGTCCGTAAAAGCCATATTATTAGAAAATTACACAGTTTAAGCTAATATCAATAGCTTCAATTTTTCTTTAAAAAATTATTTTTTAAATGTTATCATTTCATTTAGCCATTGCTATATTATTTCTGTATTTAACTTCCAGTCTTACAATCAGGGTAAATGAATATATTCATTATATTCAGAGAAATTAATGAAGTTGGTGTTACAGTCTGCGGGGAGTCTGTTTTGTTTTGTTTTGTAAAACTTTCAGTAAATCTTAATGAAAGTGACTCAGATAATTTAAGAGTCCCCTTTACATAGGATGTTCTGCCACTGGCATTTCAGTTTCAGACTTTCTTAAGGAAACTTGACTATTTAGACAAATTTGCCTGTCGACCAAGCTCAAAATATATTACTTTTGATTGAGTAAAGGCTGGTGGGCGCACTTACCTTGCAGTGTGTCAGGTGCTGAGCCAGGTTATTTAACATTATATTCTTAATCCTTACGCCAAGCCTATGAGAAGTAGAATTAACTTCCTGAAGCTGGGGAAACTGAAGCAGAAAGATTAGGAGACTTCTGAAGTCGCATAGCCAGTCAATGGTGGCAGCAGGATCACAACCCAAGTTAGCCTTACTGAAGAGTCCACACATTCTGCTAGAGACCTCACTTTTTTCTTCATTATACCTTCTGGAAGACTGTCTATTCCTTATTACACCTTCTGGAAGACACCTTCTGTTTTTATTTCCTTGATCTAAGCACAGGAGAGTGTGGTGTGTGCCATATGTTGTGTGTGTGTTACTTTTTACATTTAACTCTGTTGTTAATTTTGTTTGTATGACTCATGGCCATTTCGCCTTTCCATTTCTTCCTTGATCACCCCCATCCCCCATTGGATCTGGCAGAAGAAGCCTGTGAGGAGGAGATATGAGCCATATGGGATGTATTCTGATGATGATGCCAACAGTGATGCCTCGAGTGTTTGCTCGGAGCGCTCATATGGCTCCAGGAATGGTGGCATTCCCCATTATCTGCGGCAGACCGAGGACGTAGCAGAAGTTCTCAACCACTGTGCTAGTTCAAACTGGTCAGAGAGGAAAGAAGGGCTTCTAGGCCTGCAGAACTTACTGAAGAGCCAAAGAACACTGAGGTGAGGCCAAGGTTGTGGATGAGGATTGAGTCCCATATCATGCTTACCAGATACTTAAATGGATTCCCTGCCATCTGTGGAGTCCTCATACAGTCAGGTGCTGGGACAGGCCTTCCCGAGACTTTGATATAGGCAAATACTTTATAATTTATTAGATTTATAAAATAACTGGTTGCTTGGTCTCACTCATAGCAGGAATTTAGAAAACCTAAATAAGAGACCAGGAAAAAGACTAATCGATATAAAGTGAAAATCAAAATCAGCAAGCAACTATAAACCAGAGACACACTGTGAAGGCGGGGAGAGAGGGGCGGGGAAAGGAAGGACTATAGTCAAAATAAGGGGGGGGGTGCAATTGTATGGGGATTATAACCAAAATGAAAATGCATACATTGTGCAAAGATGAAAAAAGATGTAAGAATTATATAAAATAAAATATTTAAAAAATAATAACTGGTTGCTTTATGGTTCACATTTGTTTAGTAGGTATTATTTGAGAAATCTTGGTATAGCTTATGGTTTAGATTAAAAAAAAAAACCTGCAGATTGATATGGTTTGTTAAACTTTAGAGTTGTGGATAAAATGATGCAAGTCTCAGTCTAAAATTTTTGAATGCACATATCCATATATACATATATAGCAATAAATATGCATAGTACAGACATTAAAATAGAGTACTTTAGAATAGTAATACGTTACCTCCAGAAATATGTTGATTAGCATTGGTCTAAACTAGATTGCCTTGTTAAAAATGTTAAAAGTAAAGCGGTAGCTACTCATGACCCAACTGTCTCATCTGTATGAGGGGGGAATACTCAGGGATGGTTTGGGGAAGAGATGACACTTCTATCAAACCTTGAAGTAAAAAACGGAATTCAGTAGTAAAGGATGAGAAAAGGAAAAGGGGCACTGATGTGAAATAAGTGTTTGCTTTGTTTCCAACACATTGTCTGCAGGGTGCATTCTCTAATCTTCTCAGCAGCCATGTGAGATAGCTCTTATCCTGTTTGACTAACATGGATATAAGGATATCAGTATTTTGTCTGTGGCACAAATGAGATTAAAATCAGGTCTCACTGACTCCAGAACCCATGCTTTTCACAGTTTATCCTATTATCTTTCATCTGTGGCAGAGAAAACAGACCTAGAATGAAATGATCAGGATTCAGCTAATGGCTATGAAACTTCCACAGATGTGAGCTTGGGTAATACCTCTCTGACACTCGGTTTTCTCATCTTAAAATAAGAACAAAACTATCATGGCTCTTTAATTTCATCATGAATTAAGACAGTTCATTTATGAAAGAAATTTCATTATATGAAAAGATTTCTAAAAGGACAGCTATAACTAATCTTAGTATTGACTTACTAAATTTTGTTTCCATTTTTCCCCTCCAGTCGAGTAGAATTGAAAAGATTGTGTGAGATCTTCACCCGAATGTTTGCTGACCCTCATAGCAAGGCAAGTGTGGGAATCGTGCCTTATTTACATCCCTGTCTGCATGACTGTGTGAACTGTGTAAAACACTGCTTAAGAATGAGAGATAATCCCCCATAATGAAGGTTAGACCTTAAAAATTTAACAGCAGTTCAGCAGTAATTTGTGACATCTTTCAAAACTGGAATTCTTGGAAACTTTACATGTCCGTAAAGCTTCAAATGAAACACTGTGTTTCAAGTTAAGAGTCTTCATGGAGAGAATCAGATGTAGTCTTTCCTCAAATGATTTTGAGGCCCTCATATTAGCCAGACAGTGGGCTGGGTCCCAGAATATATTATTGTATTATAATGTAGTACCTTTAAAAAAAATTAATGAAAAAAACAAACAAAAAAAAATATATATATATATATTGTATTCCAAGAAGAATTTTTTCCATACAGGATAAGATTTTAAAAGATTAATGGATTTCTTTGTAAACCAGGTTAAATTATTTCCCCCTAGAACTTTTTAGATAGTGGCTGCTTCACTGGCTCTTGGGGGCCAAGAGAACACTGAGGACTGTCATTTTAACAAGGAGTGCCCGCTGAGGGGAAAACACCCACAAGTATGGGACCACTGAGTACCGAGGGGAGTCCTTTGCAAAAGTTTTCTTGGATCTAGATTTTGATTAAATACCATTCTTTGGGCGGTTCAGTTAGTTTGCCCTCAGAAGCTGTTAGATGATAAAGAAAACAGGTAATAAGCTACTGGGAAAGTTAAAGTGTGAATAAAGAACAGGAACAAAAGGAGAAATTGATAGAATCTCAGGTCAGTAGAAGCAGATCTTAAATATTTGACATGTAGGATTTAAGTAGCTAAAATGCAGTTTTCGTAGTTCAAATGACCCTTTTTACGGTCACACTGGAAGAAACAATCAGAGCCAGGGTTTGTGATCCAGCTAGTTACTGTGATCTCCATTCTTTTCCTACTCTTCTTTCCTCCTGGGAATTGTCCTTACAGTGTCAAGCATCCATCTATCCCTCCATTTATGAAACATTTACTGAGTACCCACTAGGCTAAGGAGACAGAAAGCAAGATGGAATCCCTGCTTTTTGAGATGTTCATGGGAGTGTAAGAGAATGAATGCAGGCCTTCTCTCTCTGTTTTATTTTATTTTATTTTATTTTATTTTATTTTATTTGGTGGCAGTTATTCTCACTCAGTATCAGTCTTGAAGCATGTCTTAAAATTCTTGATCCTCACAAAGTTAACATTGACGATATTAATAAAATCCAGGAAGGCTGAGTTTAAAGACCACACATATACAAAGATAATTATCAAGATATTTTTCTGAGGTAGGATTAATTAATAGCAGTTAAGATTTAAATCATACACCTACGAGTCATAAGATTTATAGCATAAGGGATATTAGATGGCTTTGGACATTGATGAAATTTCTGTTACCTGTCACCTCTAGATTGCTGACTCAAAACCAGAATTTGAGGATAAAGAAGGAAATTTGTTTCCATCAGAAGGCTCTTGTACAGTGAGTTTGGAGGTCTCAGTTTAGTTAACATTTGCTCGCTGCCTATGAGCTAAATCAGGAATCCCACAACTGGGGCTCACTGACTTTTTTTGAGTTCTCTATCGGGAGACCCCTGGTGGTTAATAGTTGCTGTGCTAGATCTAAGGAGGTATATGATGGCTGGGTTTTCCCAGTAGAGCTAGACTCATTAACCAAGTAGGTAACACAGTGCTACTTAGCTCTCTGAAATTGCCGCAGATATATTCTACTGTAGACTCTATCCTACCTTCGAGAACAGTAATGGTTACACAGCAGCATGAGCATTATGTGAATTATCAGTATCTTTTACTCTAAGGCATAATCTTTCATACTTTATAATATTGGAATTGGTATACCTCAGATGACTGAAATGAAAAGAAATATATACACAAGTGTTTTTTCCTCATCCTATAATAGAATTTGTTGAATGCTAGGTAATAAACAATAATAGTATAGCATTATAATGTTTAAAGTCCTTTTTTTGAAAGAGAAAGAGGCAGGCCTCCAGTACTAAATGAATACTTTTCAGCAAAATTAGTTTCTCTTTGTACTGAATTTTAAAGGCAGATTGAGGGAGGGGATAGTGTTTTATCAGTTTGTAGTCTCTTCAGGTCTTTTAAGAAACTGCATGAAAATGGTATTAATTCACAGTGGACTAACATAGAATTTGTTTTGTTGCATGGCCTGGTTTGCTGTGGAATTCACAACAGAGAGTAAGTTTCAATCCTGTTTTTTTATCTATTTTATTTAATATATTTGCCTTCTATGCTATGACCAGTTGTTAACGTGTTCTGAGAGTGGGAAAAACTAGTATGGGCACTTTTAATGTTTTATAGACTTTGGAGGAAATCATGAATTAAATATGTGAAATGTTGGGTTGTCATTTGTGTCCAGGTTTTCAGTATGTTTTTGGAGACTCTTGTGGACTTTATAATAATTCACAAGGATGACTTGCAAGACTGGCTTTTTGTTCTTCTCACACAATTACTTAAGAAAATGGGAGCAGATTTACTTGGATCTGTGCAAGCAAAAGTTCAGAAGGCTCTAGATGTCACACGGTAAGTGTGTTAGTGGCCAGGCCATTTATAACTTGATAACTGTGTCTTGTAAAGGATTGTTACAGTGAGGTTAATTAACACATCCTTCATAATTACCTTTTTGATGTAATGGGGGTGAGAACATTTAAGATGTCCTCTTGTAGCAACTTTTAGGTATTGAATTATTGTTAACTATAATTGCTGTGCTTTACCTTAAATCCCCAAAACTAACTAATGTTATAACTAGAAGTCTCTATCCTTTGAATAATGTCTCCTTTCCCACATCCCTCTAGCCCATGGCAACCACCATTCGACTCTTTCTATGAATTCATCTTTGTTTTTTCAGATTCTGTATAAAAGCAAGATCTTGCAGTATTTCTCTTTCTCTGACCTACTTCACTTAACATAAAACCTCAAGCCTCGTCCATGCTGTTGTTATCAGGATTGCCTTTTTAATGACTGCGTAACATTTTATTGTATACATACACTACATTTTCTTCTTCTGTTCCTCCATCAGCAAACACTTAAATTATTTCCATGTCTTTGCTGTTAATAAATGATGCTGCAGTGAACATGGGAGTACAGATAGCTCTTTAAGATAATGATTTCACTTCTTTTGGATATATACTTAGAAGTAGAATTGGTGGATCATGTGGTAGAGGAACTTCAAGGAACTTCCATACTGTTTTCCATAGTCACAGTTTATATTCCCACTAGCAGTACATAAGGGTTCCCTTTTCTGTACATTCTTGTCAGCATACTTAGCAGTGACATTTTGGCACCAGCCATTCCAGCAGGTGTGAGGTGATACTGCAGTATGGTTGTGATTTGGATTTCCTTGTTGATTAGTGATGTTCATCTACCTTTGTGTAAACTCGAGGACCATTTGTGTGTTGCCTTAGGAAGAATGTCTGTTAGGGCATGGTGAGGGCTGAACTGTTCTGATGTTACAGGACTCTACAGGTGGTTTCTTTCCATTCTCTTCTGTCACCGAGGATTTTCATTACCCCCTTAATTATCTCCTCTCTAACTTGATTCCCATATTCTTTTTTTGACATGTTAAATGCCCCACCAACCCATGAAATGAAATACCCATATCTTCCTTAAGTTGGTGTTACTTTTGTGAATGACTAAGACAAATATAAAGCTTTGAACATTGATTTTCTTCTCTTTAAAAAGCATTTGAGAATATTTATATCCTTCTGAAGACCTTACTTGGTGTTTCTAATACTTTAACTTCTTACAGTTCATCCTAGACATTTTTCTATCCTTGTATTATGTAGTTTTCCTGTTCATCTGAAGAGGTTTATTGGCTCAAAGATTGATAGCACACTTACAACAGTTGTAGTCCTTCTAGCTGTTGTAAGAAAAGAAAAGCTGCCCAGACTCTAAACAATATGCAAAAGACTATGTGTTGCTATTATTTAGAAACCTCTTATCTATTGCCTCTAAAATTTTAAGTGCCCATCATATAAGCATTTGAAATTAAATGATCTCAAAAGATACTTTGTAGTAATGTGTTTATGATTTGGTGGAGGATGGAGAAAAGTATGTCAGATCAGGTAATTTTTAAATGAATTAACAATGGCTCCTACAGCAAGGGAAATAATTGCAAAAATAAACTGTTGGGGTCACCTTAAATTAGAAAGCTTTTACACAGTGAAAGGAAATATAAATAGATTAAAAAGATATCATACTGAATGGGAGACAATATTTATACTTTTACACAACCAACAAGGGGTTAATATCCAAGACACACAGAAAAATTTATTTAATAGCAAAAGAACAAACAATCCAATTAATAAATGGGCAACAGATATGAACAGGAAATTCATCAAAGAGGATGTCCAGAAGACCAGTTGACATATGGAAAAATCTTGAACATCACTTTTAATACGGGAGATTTAGGTCAAAACTGCAATGCAAAATCATCTCACACCCATGAGAATGGCACTTGTGAAAAAGACCCACAAGAACAAGTGTGAAAGAGGATGTGGAAAAAGAGGACCCCTAATACATTGTTGGTGGAAATGTAAAATGGTGCAGCCATTTGGAAAATGGATATACATTAAAAAACTAAAAATGTGAATAGCATGACCCAGCAGTTCTACTTTGGGGCTTCTACCTAAAGAATATGAAACCATCAACTCAGAAATATCACATGCTCTATAATGTTTACTGTAGCATTCTTTTCTTTTCTTTTCTTTTTTAAGATTTATTTATTTTTATGCAAGAGCTGGGGTATAGGTCAGAGATGCGGGAGGGTGAGAGAATTCACCAGAGACAGAGTGGGAAACAGAACAGACTGACTGAAATACACTGCTGAGGGGAGCAGCGGGAGAGACGGAAGAGGTCTGCTGCGCCATGTGGGAATCTCCCTGGCAGGCTGGGAATCGAACCGGCGCTGCAGAGGCTGCAAACAGCTTCAAAGCGTCACACTCAACCCTCTGCGCCACTGGGGAGGCCCTTCTTTTTTTTTAAAAAAAAGATTTATTCATTTATGCATACAAGAACTGAGGTACAGGCCAGAGGTGTTGGAGGTGAGAGGATTCACCAGAGGCAGAGCGGGGAACAGAACAGGCAGACTGAAATACACGGCTGAGGGGAGCAGCCGGCGAGTCAGGAGAGGTCTGCTGCGCCATGTAGGTAGCTCCCTGGCGGGGGATCAAACTGGTGCTGCAGAGGCTGCAGACAGCTTATAGGTTGTGTCTTAACCCCTTGTGCCACCAGGGAGGCGCTGCAGCATTATTTTTCAAGCTCTATACCAAGTAGAGCTCATAAGCATTTACCCAGCTAAAACCAAGGGGTGTAATACAAGCAGCTTAAGCCAAGTCAGGATATGAAAAGATTTTGGAATTGAAAGTGTTTCTTGCATAAGCAATATTTGGAAAGGTATCTGGATAGAAAAAAGATGAACAGACTCCTAAAAAAGGCTCATGGGATTTTTTTCCCCTAGTTTATGACTTAATTTTAACATAGCATACTCAAAGTAAATTTAGTATGTGTTCTGGGACTTTCAACGAGACTTTCCTTTCCCTACATTTTCTGTATAGTATTTATATAAAATGAAAAGTACTATTTTTAAAAATGTGAGCAGTCTCACTTTTATATGCACTAATCTACAACAGTATATTTTGGCTTCTTATATTATTGCATAACAATGTATACTTTTTTTTTAAACCTAGGGACTCCTTTCCCTTTGATCAACAATTTAACATTTTGATGAGATTTATTGTGGATCAGACTCAAACTCCTAACCTCAAGGTCAGTAACTTTTTGTCGCTAACTTCATAGTGTCGCCTCTAGAGGTTTAGATTTGCTTAAATTTTCTTTTTACATTAATCATATTTGATTATTATGAAAATTCTTCTGTGGGCATTCTTGTCCATCTCTTGTGAACATGATTCCATTTCTCTTTGTTCAGTATCTAGTAGAGAAATTGTTGGTTTACTGGGTAGGGTTACTTTTAAACTGCCAGAAAGGTGTACTATGTCATATTCCTACCATCAGTATATGAGAGATCCATTTTTTCTGCATCTTACTGGCATTTGGATATTACTACTCTTTTTATAATTAATTTTTAAAAAGATTTATTTATATAAGAACTAGGGTACAGGCCAGATCTGCGGGAGGGTGAGAGGATTCACCAGAGACAGAATGGGGAGCAGAACAGGCAGGCTGACTGAAATACACTGCTGAGAGGAACAGTGGGCAAGACAGGAGAGGTCTGCTGTGCCATGTGGGTTTCTCCCTGGCTGGCCAGGATCGAACCCGCGCTGTAGAGGCTGTGGACAGCTTCACAGTGCGGTGCTCAACCACCTGTGCCACCAGGGAGGCCCTATAATTAATTTTTATACTAGAAAAATGTTCTGTGTTGTTTTTTTTTTAATATTAACATTCTGACTCATGAAAATGAATTGGTACATCTTGTAGAAAATCATACCGATAATAACAGGACTAAATTTGAGGGAAGATGTGTGTTAATTTGAGGTAGGTATGTGCATCTTCTGTTCTTTGATCATTAACTTTGCTTGGTGTTTTAGGACAGACCCTTTTTTCTTGTGGTGAAAACTAATTGAAACATCACTGGAGAAGTTAGGGCATAATTTCAGATTTATGGTTACTGAAAATGTTCCTATAAGACATAGCTTAGAATGCAGACAGAACTTATTACAGAGTTGAATTTGCTCTCCCAGAGCTAGAAATCCCACAGGCCATCCCACCTGAGCTACTGCCCTGTAAATATCTTGCAGCATAAGTAAGGATACCTTCTCTGCAGTCTGAAAATGAAGAGAATGAGTTGCATACTTTTCTTCCTGTTTACAAACTTGCTAGTCATTCATACTTTTCCCCCAGTGGGTGCCTCTCAATGTGGAAACCTAAATCCAGGAGAAAAGAGATGTCCCCTCAATAATGTTTTCTTTTATCCTTGTCATCAGCTCAGAATTGTATTCAAAAAGTATACTAATGTTTATAATTATTGCATACTTCAGGTCAAAGTTGCAATCCTGAAGTACATTGAGTCTCTCGCTAGGCAGATGGATCCAACAGATTTTGTAAACTCCAGTGAGACAAGACTTGCTGTTTCTAGAATTATAACCTGGACAACAGAACCAAAGAGTTCAGACGTGAGAAAGGTATGTACAAGAGAGCTAAGGCACGACTTAAGTTACAGAATGTTCTTAGAATACTGATATTTTTATTACTAGGGAGTATTCTCCTTATAAATCTTTATCATGTCTTTCCTGTGAAAGCCAAGACATTGCTATTGCACCGTTATCTTCTCTCTAGCTCCACCTACTTCTAGTCTTTGAATAATAAAATGAAAATCTAAAATCTTGTAGACTGGGCTATGGGTTTTCTTAGATATCTATTTCACATTTTTATAATGTGAAAGCACCAGTGGGTTAGTTTTTCTTCAAGCACATTGGTTTCCCTTGTGTCCATTTTGTGACATGTACTTGGAAGGTGGCATTACAGATCTGAGCCTACCTCACCACAAGGGACCTGGCAGTAAAATCTAGTTGAAAATTTGCTAAAAAGTAAAATGAATTCTTCAATTTGAAAAGGGCAAAAGTTTCCGATTATACACCACACTTGGAACATACTTTCTTTGATTTGGGGAAATTAGGTGGGAAAGCCCAATTCAGATTTTTGAGACACTGTAATAGCAAGGTGGTGCTTTATTGTTTTTTTTTTTTTTTTTTTTAATAGGCTACTTGCTTCTAAAATAGCACATTGGGAGGCCTATAACATAGTAAAGAGTGATGTGTACTATTATTTCTATTACTGGGTAATACTCTATATCTAGATAGTGTAAGGTTTGGTTAATCAATATATGCAAAGGCATTTAATCAAACCCTGACACATTGTAATCCCCCAAAAAAGTATAAGTAAGCTGTTGTGTTTGTATTATTCTCTCCTGTCAATGTTAAATCCTGTGCCCAAGTTACATGTGTGCCTATCATTCTTTTTGCTTTTTATGTAAGCTTACTAGCCTTCAGTATTCTAAAAGCCAGATTTCTCAGTTCTGCTTTCAAACTAAAAGCACTTGATTTTGGTTGTTTGTAGTTGTTGAATATTGCATTTTTTTCTTCTATACTAGACTCCTTACACAACCATCCCTACTGATATAATCCTTTGGCTATGTACCGATATAGTCCTTTCGACTACATTGACAGAAAAAATGGAAAGGATGATCCCAGCATATTTAGTGAGGTTGTCGTATATCCAAGGGTATATGAACACTTAGCTCCTTCTCTAAATGAAGTTCAAGGAGGAGAAATGAAGAATTGTCTGAAAGGTTTCTTCAGGAGTAAACTAAGATGTTCATGCTCTAGGAACACTGGCAAATCTTAGTAAGACACTTATTCAGATATCACTAGTATTTTTCAATTTGTGGTTCTTTTCTAAAATTTCTCAGCATTATCCAAAGAACATTTCAAAGGTGGCTTTTAGTTAAACCATTAAGCTAGTTTGGATTAGGGAGGTGCAATAGCGTGGCTAAATGATCTGGTTAGTTTGAAATTCAGAAATAGTAATTTTGAAACTCTTAAGATCAACCAAAAAATATAAAAACCTCACGTGCAGCTTTCTATTTTTAGTCATAACACATGAGTTATGTGCTTCTGTGTGAGTATGTGCTTTTGTGTTAAATGTTATGTAAGTATTCCTTCCTGTGGTGCTAAAACATGTTGTTGTTGTTTTTTTTAAAGATTTATTTTTTTATACAAGAATTGCAGTACAGGCCAGAGGCAGGGAGGGTGAGAGAATTCACCAGAGACAGAGCGGGGAGCAGAACCAGGCAGACGACTGAAAACACTGTTGAGGGGAGCAATGGGCGAGACAGGAGAGGTCTGCCTTGCCATGTGGGTAGCTCCCTGGCCAGCCGGGAATCAAACCCACACTGCAGAGGCTGCGGACAGCTTCACAGCACTGTGCTCAACCCACTGTGCCACCGAGGAGGCCCCTAAAACATGTTTTAGACTTGCACATTAATCTGATTAGAACCTGTGTGGGAGCAACTAACTTTGATAATATCCATTTTTCATCGACATGCCTAATAATAATTTGAACTAGAATTTATAAATCAGGACATTTGAGGAAATTTTTCCCTTAAGATATCTTGCCTGGGCTCTAAAAGCCTTAACTAGGTCAAGTCAAATATGGTTAGAATTTTAAATTTATTGCTGGAAACCACTTGATTCATTTGCTGCTTGAATAATCTTCAATATTTAATTTAATCATTTTGGCTTATCTATTGCTGCTTCACAATGCCTGTCATCATTGGCATTTTACTTGTGATGTTTGCTGTTGCTCCTTCCCTGTCGCGATCATAAGGACTATTTAATACCTCATCTTTACACTGTCCAAGATCTTGCCAAACCAGCCAGGGTGTTGTTTGGCTCTTGAATCTCATCTACACTGACTGCTTTCTTGCTGACTGTAAACAGAGAATATTCTCAGTTAATAAAGGCTATCTGCCATCCCTTATCAGTTTGCTTCCTCAAAGACATCAGAATATTTGAAGAAATAATGCCCCAAAACCCCACAAATTTTATGGAAAACAAGTATCTAAGAAGCTCAACAAACATTAAGTAGAATTAAAAAAAATACTATCCATACCTAGACACATCACAATCAGAGTACTAAAAGGCAAAATAAATAGAGAATCCTGAAAGCAGCAAGAGGGAAGTGGCTCCGCATATCCAGGAGATCCTCAGGAAGAAAAGTAGCTGGTTTCTCTTCAGAAACCATGGAGGACTGAAGATAGTGGGGCAACATTCAAAGTGCTGAAAGAAAAAAATAATCAGCCAATAATCCTCTGGTTATAAAAACTATTGTTCAAATGTGAAAGAGAAGATAAAGCCATTGGGAGGCTCTCACTTTCAATTTTCTCGTCTCTTAAGGATTCACCTGATTAGGTAAGACCCACCAGGATAGTCACACTTGAGTCAAGTGATTAGGAAGGGACTTAATTCCATCTGCAAAATACCTTCTGCCTTGTAACATAATTTGGAGTGATCTTCCATCATATTTGGGGGACCTACTTATTCCCAAGAAAGGGGTTATGTGGGACTCATGGGGGATTCTTGTGGTACCATACTGAGAGTTTGTCTGCCAGGAATCTTGCATAATTATTTGGTAACTCCTTAGCTTTTATTCAAATGGGGAACTTTTTTACTTGACTCTGCAAATTGTGATGACGGTCAACTTAGCAGTTGCATCTTTTCATTCTAGGTGTTCTCTGCATTTTTTTTTTTAATCCAAGATATTTGTGACTCTAGATTGTTTCCATTTCAGTTGTACACCTCCTGCACTAACTAGTAAGGCATGGCTGTTTAAGTCAAATTGGTGTGTTAAAGTATAGAATTCAAATATTTCTTTTTTAAAAAAAGATTTATTTATGCATACAAGAACTGGGGTAAAACCAGAGGTAGCGGGGGGTGGGGGGGTGAGAGGATTCACCAGAGTGAGTGGGGAGCAGAACAGGCAGATCTACTGAAATAAGCTGCTGAGGGGAGCAGCAGGCGAGGCAGGAGAAGTCTGCTGTGCTGTGTGGGTTGCACCCTGGCCAGCCGGGGATCGAACTCGAGCTGCAGTGGCTGGTGAAAGCTTGATAGCACTGTCTTTAACCCCTGCACCACCAGGGAGGCCCTCAAATATTCCTTTTGTACAATTAGTATATTTAAAAATTATGACATGGTATATATCAGTCTGCTCCAAGGTATGAAATTGCCCTTATCATCTTATTTTTTACACTTGATCTTAGCCTAAAAGCCAAGAAGTGATTATTATTCTTTATTTTTTATTAGCTAATTAATTTTTAATTGAGGTAATACTTAGATTACCCCCATCAGGTATAGCCACCATAGTGCACCCACTACCAAATCACCCTTGGTCCACCCTACAGTCTATTGTGTGTCCTTATCATTTTAAAGTTGTAACAAATAAATCAAGGACCATTTTAGTCTAGAAAAATCAAATGCACTAAAGATGTCCTTCCTTACTAGTCTTTTAAAAATACACGTGTTTGTTCCTTATCTTTCATTTTTAGACTTATTAGAATGTTATATCAGGTACTAAGGAAATATTGATAATTTAAAGCACTTTTGATCATGAACCACATTCTCCTGTTGGTATCCTGCTTTAAGAGTATGATAGCCCTGGAGAATACTAATATTATGCACACTGTACTTCAGGAATTTGCAGACAGTGAAATTAATTACCCATATTTTTAAGATCAAAAGCACTTTTGAAACATTTTAAGCTGATAAAACGCTGTTTTTTTTTAACATTTTAAATGTTTCCCTTTTTATCTCAGTGTTTTGGCGTAATTTACATTGGAAAAAAAGAGATTCTAAATATTTAAGATACTTTGAAAGGAGGGAAAAAACACTACCAAAACTAGACCACAAGCCACTCACCAGGCAGGTGTGCCTACCAGGTTGGGGCTGATTAGGACTAGGTGAAAAGCCCCACCTAGGTTTTTTTTAATAGGCCTACTTTATTCCAAGAGGAACCTTTTTCATTTTTTGAGTGTGGGAATCCTGACTAGTGTGTTGATCAAGCTGTACCAAAGTACATTAGACCTTTCTTAATGCTCTGTATTTGATTCTAGAGAAAAGGAAATGGATTTTTCTAGAGTTTAACCTACTTTCACTTCTGCCTCTGCCACTTGTTAGTGGAACAGTAATTTAACCTCTGATCCCTTGTTTTTGTTATGCAAAAAAATCAGAATGCTTGCCTCAAGTCATTTTGGGGAGGGCTAATTGTAATAAAGGATATGAAAACATAAGTAGATGTTGCCTCATTTTCTGTTACAACTCTTGCTGTATGCCTTTTTTTTTTTTTTAAAGGTGAGGAGATATTTATTTGTTTATTTATTAATTAAGATTTATTTATTTATTTATACAAACACTGGGTACAGTCAGAAGAGCGGGAGGGTGAGAGAATTCACCAGAGCCAGAGCCGGGAGCAGAGCAGGCAAAAGGACCGAAGTACACTGCTGAGGGGAGCAGCGGGCGGCAGGAGAGGTCTGCGCGCCATGTGGGACCCTCCTCCAGTGGCCGGGGAGCAGCTGGGGATCGAACCAGCGCTGCAGAGGCTGCGGGCAGCTTCGCAACCCAGCGCTCAACCGCTGTGCCACCGGGGAGGCCCTCTTGCTGTATGCTTTTGAGGATTATTTTGGTTTTACTGCTGCTGTTTGTAGAACCAGATTTTGTCCAGCATTATAAAGATTTTTTTTCTCCATCAATCAAAGGGAGTATGGTGATGGAAATAGAATTTTTAATGTTATGTTTGTATTTTGGCATTCAGAATTCCTGTATGTTTGCTTATCACATGTGATTCTCTAATATTGTAGCACCTACTTTATCAGATGAAGTAGCAGAGTTAGCCCCCAACTGTCATTTTGAGAAATGTAGGAAATGAAGGCATGACAAAGTCTAGAAAATAGAAAGATACTATTACCTGAAGCAGGAAATATGTATAAATAGCCTTAAAAATTGAAATTGAAATTTCTAATTGATTGTTTTTTAATCTGATTACTATGGCTACTTTGCCTAATCTAAAAAACTAAGGGTTTCACCATCAATTAAGATTTGAATCTCAGCTTAACTCTGACTGCCTCATTCAAGTCTCTTATTGTGACCTCTTTGATCTTCTGTTTCATCATGTAAAGCAAGACTGCTGGACTTCCAGGAAGGATTATGATTCTTAAGGACCTAACAAATGACTAAGGTTTAAAATTGGTAGTTACTGTTATTATTCTTAACTTTTAGATTATATGTGCCTGTGCGATTTTATAAAAGAAGCCAGATACACTTTCAGCTTAACCATGGTTTAAGCACGTACCTCTTCTCTCTGATTAAATCCTACCACTTTTCCTGTTTGTCAGTCCCCTCTTCAGCGTAGTCGAGTAGGTGAGGATTTCCCCACTAGGTCAGCTTCAACCTGCTCTGGGCCTGGAGAAGGAAACTTGGAAGAAAATTGTAAACAGGTAGATTTAAAACTGTCTACTAATTTGTAAAGAGAGACTTTACTGTTTGCATTTTAGATTATTAATCCTGATTACCCTTGTGAAGACACTGGAAAGATTTTGAAGAAACCTAAAATAAAAATAATACTTTGTGAGAGTGTGTATGCGTGTGCCTAGTACATGTTTGTGTTTTGATTTATGATTAACTACCTTTCTAAAGAATTAGCTATGCTGAGTGCAGGCCTCCACATATTTTAATGGAATAGTAAGGAATACTAAATAAGAAATGTCTGAAGGTTTAAAATACCTTCCCTTTGGGTGACTCTGCAAAGCAATTTTAATGATTGCCTAAAGGGGGCAAGTAGTCATTCAATAAATTCAAAAACTACTTTTCCTTCCAAATTTTAAGTTTTCCCTAATTAATACCAACACTGAAACATTTGTTAAAGTCTCATGGACCTCCGGTCTGGAAAAATTCTGTTGTAAGATACATGGTTTTCAAGTTAGTTGAGTTCTGGAAGTTCTTTTCAAACAGCGGTAGTGAAATTTGAAGAACCTTTTACCTTTACAATCCCCCCTACACAGACACACGGGCACACACACACACACACACACACACACGAGTTGTATTTTTGGGGCATGAGTGGGATTCGTTTCCTTTAAAGTTGGCACTTAAGCATTAAAATAGCAATAAATTGCCCTGGGGTTGACTATTAGGAAAAGCTGTACTCAGCGTTTTTCTGTCTAACTGCTTAGTGGACCTGCCTCTTATGGAAGACAAGAGTTCAAAGATTGGACAAGAACGATGATAGTCCACTTGTTGATTCATTATTAAACGTGAGCCATGCCCCAGAGTCTTTAAAATGAATCTCTTCAACCCTTCCCCAAATTTGGAGTTCTTTTTAATGAGAATATCGATGGCATTGACAAATATAATCTAGTTTTTTCTTCCTTGCTTGGAGTCAAGTGTTCTGACTTCTCACTAACACAGAAGGTTGTAGACAAAATATTTTAGGACTATAGACTCTGATTCCTTTTAAAACTTTGATGTAAAATCTTTAAAAATAATATGATTAAATGATACTTTATCCATTTCTGGAGCTTGGATCTCATTAGAAAAAGATTTTTCTTTGAAAACAACTTTAAGCCAAACTGATTTTTGAAAACTATATAAAATCATTTACATTTATTATTTAGAAAATCTAAAAATCATTTAGATGTATACATCACACACATACACCATCTGTCTGACTAATTACATTTCAAAATCCCCTTTATTTGATTTCTAATCATAATTCATTTTAGGATCGCTAAGAAAAGGTTTCTTTTTTAGTGTGTCGGAAGTTAAAGTCTGCTAATACTTTTTTTCCTCATGACTAAAAGCCACTGATGTTAATTAGCAATGAATCAGCACAATTTCTAGGGTATCATCTTGTAGCCGTCTTGTTCCTAAAAGACCTCACTAATTTTATAATTTTCTTCATGAAAAATTTCAACTAAGTTTGTAGCATTAAATACCATGTGATTTGGGGAAGAAATATATTCTTTTAAGTAAAAATAATGGCATATTTCACATAAAAAGAGACCAATGAAAAATGCAGCCCTACATTTTATAATTTTCAAATGCCATGTTCAATTAACAAAGTTTCTAAACTTTCTTATGTAATTGGTGACTTGATTTTTTTTCCCTCCTAAAACTCAAGTCTGCTGCTTTCTTCTTTCTTTCTCTTTAAAGTGCATTGTTTTCTGCATGCATTTCTCCCCCTAACAGCTAATGTTTTTTTGAAAATGCACTGATTACTTTGCATGATTTTTGGAATTTGCTTTTATGTAAATAGGCATATCATGGCAACAGAACATGAAATTAGTAGTGGAATAGCTTCCTTCAGATAATTTATTAAGAATGTTTCAAAAATGAAATGTAGGATTATGTATCTTTGTGTAATGAATAAATTTGTGATAAATTTTTACTGTGGGTTTAAAAAGTTTGAGTCTGTAAATTTTTCCCCCTTTTTTAAGCACAAAATAGTAGTTTTGTTTTAATTAGATCTGAAATACATGTTAATATTGTGAAGCATTGAAATATTTTGTGGTATATATTTCTAAGAAATTTCTCAGAAAATGTTTTCATGTAACATTCTAAATATAGAAAAAAAATACTCAATAATTACTGCAATCCTAAAAATTACAGTCTTTGGATAAATGTATGCTTTTAGTCAAAAGATTTTCATAATGTGTTTTCTTTTGACTCTTAGAAATTTGTAACAAGTATCAGTTTAGTATTTACTAAAATTTTCTTTAGACATAGCCTTTCTAAATCAAAACCTTTGTAACTAATTCCTCAGGCCTTATTTTTAAAACATGGATTACCTGCTACTACTTTAGTATGATAGAAAGCACATAACTAAGGCTGGAGAAATCTCAGTCTCCTTTGGCTACTGTTGCTTCAGCTAATTGCTTTTATACAACTTGCTTCTAGTAATTCCAAGCAGTCCTGCCTTATGTTGTCTCAATTCATAAAGAAAAGTAGACCATGTTCCCAAAAAGGCAGAAGTAAATCTTTCATTTCTACCATAGAAGTCTGGTTTGCTTCCCAAAGAATGCCTCTCTCGTGAATTCATGGGTGTAAAATTAGGGGTTTTTCAGTTGTGTTTAAATTCTGTCTTTTTCTTTGTCACTGCTGGCAGGGTTGAGGAAATGTGGTTTCTCAGATAACGCAGTGGTAGGTAGTCCATTTAGAAACTTGTTCTTTCCAGGGTGATCTGAGAATCTTAAACCTTCTAATTTTTTAATTATTTCATTAATTTACCAGCTTCATAGACAACAAAGGAAAAGTAATGAGAATTATTAATATTTTCAGAAATCCAAAGCTAGGGTATGAAAATGAAACCAGGGCTTATTTTCTAGATTGTTGATAATTGTCAGACATTATTGATAATAGTCAGACTGTTGATAATTGGTGACATTATTTTCTCCACATGCTTCTGGGTTTTGTTTTATTTTTTTTTTTATGTTGAAGGTGTCCTCTTGTTATTTATGGTCCTCATACAAAAATGATTTCTTTTAAAAATCACTATTAATGATTTAATCACTTTGACCAAGATTCGCTATTGTACATACCTAAATTAATCATGTCCTTTTTTTCCTAGGCAGCACAAATTGTGCTAATCTCTCTGTTTGAATTGAACACTCCTGAATTTACCATGTTACTTGGTGCCTTGCCAAAAACATTCCAGGATGGTGCCACCAAACTTCTACATAACCACCTCAAGAATTCTAGTAACACCAGTGTGGTGAGTGCTGTGGTCTTGGTGCCTGCACAGATCAGAACCTCCTCTTTATGTACTTGTTTACAGTTTGCTCCAATAGAACTACCAACTTCCTTGTCCTCTTTTAGGAGTTTGTGTGTCCATGTCTGACCCTGCCATATTCCCAAAGGAATGAATGAACCTGATATTTAAATATGACCTCTTCCTTGTGTTAGATTGTTCAATCAATTCAGTATTTTACTAGGTCATTTAGTCATTCATTCATTCATTGAGGTTTTGTTGTGTTTTTTTTTTTTTTTCCCCCACACTGTAGGGTAAATCTTCAATTGTGTCTGTCACTCTAGCACAACTGACATCATTCAAATGCAGGGCTACCTATAAAACATCATTTTTGGTTTTTATGTATTTAAAATTGACTGGAAAAAAAAATCACTATGCAATTTCTTTTCACTTATTTACATGTAAGTTAAAAGACCAAGGGAAAAGTAGGACTGTTCTACATTTAGCCCTTCAATAATGATGTCTGTTCTACCTTGACCTCAGGGTTCTCCGAGCAATACAATTGGCCGTACTCCATCCCGACACACCAGCAGCAGGACCAGCCCCCTGACCTCACCCACCAATTGTTCCCATGGGGGCCTGTCTCCAAGGTAATACCATTTCCACAGAAATGCGGAAACTAAATCACCCCAATGTCTGTCTAGCCTATTTCTATATTTTTAGACCAAGCTTAATACCAAAGAAATGAGTGTGGGTATCAGGAGACTACGGGTTCTAGTCCTCACTCAGATCTTAACTCTTATAACGTCGGGCTAAGCAGTTAGCTTTGTATAGTGAAATGAGTAGTCTGTGCTGAATGTTCTCTGAGATTCTTCTAGCTCTAAACTCTGTCTAGTACCTTACAGATTTTAGAACTAACATAATTCTGTTTCTTATAGAAACCATTTAGAAATTTACCACCTGCTTAGTAAGTGATGAAAACATTTGAAGATATTTAATCATCTACATAAGTCCTTTATAGTTAGTCTGTACTAATTCTGGGGCAGTTTTCCACCAAGTGACCATTCCTAGCTGAGCTGCTATTATTATGAGCTCACATTTGAAGTAGAGTGCAGCTCTGAAAGAGGGATTAAGAACCTGAGAATTAAAATTGGATCAACATTTCCAGATTTTTATTGGGCTCGTGTGAGCATTGGCCTTCTAGTCTGAGGCAGTAACTCAAAAGGAGAAAACTGCTTTGTCTAGGGTTCTTTATATAATCAAAATAATGGCCGGATAGATTAGACTTTTTAGGAAGGAGCCAGTGCCTTAACTTGTAAGGGTTATACATGCTTTCTTTGTCTATAGCATCACTAGTAAGAATCAAGGAGCTGTTGTCCTAAAGTTTGCTGACACCAAGATCTTAAAATTATAAGAAAATACCTAAAGTATGCCATTTCTTTTTAATCATAGAATGATATCAAAACCTCTGCTTTCAAATTTAGATCTTTAAATGACTGAGACTGCCAAATGCCTTCTTCCTTCCCACTGAAGGTCTCTTCAGTTTCTCAAGTTATCCTATATTTTGGAAAATGTCAAATTTGTGTTTTTCTCTTGGTGAACCAGACTATTTTATATACTTATTGTAATCTACTCTTTTTATTGCCTTAATTTAATTCCCCAAATGCTCCCACTGTACTATATTCAGATGGCATGAGATATGATGTTAGGTCTCCAAATTTGGTCTTTGTTGGCATGATTTCAACAGGCTATTATAATTAGTTGAGGCCAGAAACTAATGAAAGTATGTCTGACTTTCGCCGGGTTTGATTGAGGCCCAGCCAACTATTTTTTTTTTTTTTTAGTTTGTATCTCAAGTATATGGTTTGTCCTAAATGACTGGGGTCCAGGTTGACAGTAAAATTTTGGAGTTCTTGTTCCTGGTGAGAGAGAATTTTATGGAAAACTTGCATTTGCTGAAAATAGCTGCTTTTGTGTAGAAATCATACTTTCGTAACATTAATTGGGAAATCTGTTCTTCCATAATACACAGTCCATGCATCTTTCAGTTATTTCATTATTAGGATGGCATATTCTTTAGGTAATAAGCAAAAGGTAAAACTCAATTTTTGTTTGTTTGTGCCAGTAGTTTAAGTAAAAGATTGGTGGGGTTTGCTACCATGATCCATCAGAACTAAGAATTGCCCTGGTATTAATCTTCATGAATTCTCAGATGATTAAAAATTTTATTTTTCTGGGTTGCCATTTATTCATAATTGACCAGATTTACTTTTTACAGTTAGGGTTATAGGTCAGTAGAAGAAATGAAGATATTTATTTTCAATATTAAAAAATCCAGTGTGGTCTAAATATTTTCTTGTCAGAAAAATCTTCTTTAGGGAATTATTTACTGATATAATTTTGTTAGATCTTTAAAAATAAACCCTCAGCAAGTGTTTAAATAACCAGATGGCTTTAGCTAACTTGAGCTCAACGGGCGAAATGATTTTTCTCAGAACTAAAACTCCCCAGAAATAAGAAATACTACCTTCTGTCATGTTATCACTAGGATATTCAGATCGTTTGCATACGTTCTAGCAGGAAAGTTATTTAAAAAATGAATTCTTGCATTAAATAGGAGAGTGAACTAGGTCACCACATTCTAAGGAGGTGATAGGCAGCTTCCGTAGTACATAATCTCAGCTATATTTTTGAGCAGTGCTCTTGAAATATTAATTTGTGACCTGCCATTCTTTAAATCATTTTGACCCTATAAGGTTAGCTTTTTATTCCTAAGGGGAAAGTTATTACCCATTGTTTGTTCTGAGTATCAAAATCTAGTTTTGAGTATCAAAATGAACCTGTATTTTTTTTTAGTCCAGAAATTCTACACCTGGATTATCTTGATAAAAAGGAAATATTCTTAATGATGAACAAATCTAATTTTCTAATTTTGGGTTTGTTTTTTTTTTCAATCACTAGGGGAAAAATCATTTCTATCAACCCAACAGTATTAGTGAAGCTGTAGCTCACAGGTTAAACTTTGGTGAGACTTCCATTAACCATTTCTGTGTGAGGGAGGAATCACTGTAACTCCCAGCTAGTTAAACAAATATTACTTGGTACTTGGAGGGGAGATTTATGACCTAGAGTTCTTCATGATTAAGCTCATATTTATATATTCTGACTGATCTTACCAAGTGTGATTTGTGTTAAATGAAAAACAAGAGTTGCCAGGGGGTTCAGAAAACACATGATGTCCATTCCCTTTAAGATAAATATGTCAATGGCAGTCTTTACTCTCATCTGTTTTATAGTCTTGGCAAAAAGGTTGTAGAGCAGAATAGCACTACACAGATCACCTCTGTTATCCCTGGTAATAAAAGATAATTTTAAATCCATCTCATCAGAGAATAGCAGTATCCATAGACTCAAAGTGGAGATTAACCGGGGGACCCAGACTCCCACGGTGAGGTGGTAGGGCATCTGCTTTGTACAAACTCTGCCTGTTAGCTGAGCTCCAGCCTGAGATGGGCGCCCCCATACTCATCTTGTGCCCCACCTCCAACTAAATGTGTAACTTAGAGAAGGTCATTAAGCCCTCTATACCACAGTGACCTCTCATCTTCACACTTGATTTTCCTTATGAAGTGCCTTCAGGTGAAGACGTCTTCTGTACAGATCAACATGCACACTAGTGGCAGGCAGTACTACTCCATAGGAACGCGGCCTCTGGTTTGGTAGACTCAAATGTGTGCCTCAGAACACATTTCCAACCACTTCAGCTCAGTCCTTTTCCAAAGTCTTTGGTTCAATTAGTTTGGATTGCAGCAGTAGATAGAAATCTCGGAGGGCCTCTGAAGGGGGCCCTCACAAGTAAGAGGGGAACACTTGTGTTCTCGGGGAAATATTAATTCTCATATTAGGGGATATGAGTGGAGGAATTTGACTTTTGGTTCTCTTTCTCTGAGCTGACCTTCTGAGATGTGGTCGCTAGCCCTGTATAGTTGCTGTTACAGTTTTGAGGGGAATTGCTGTAGCAACCTCTGAACTCTCCGTGACTGGAGCTAGGCCTCAAGAACACACTGTCATGCTGGAGAGCTCTGGTCTGAGTGGCAGACTCTCTGCACCTTCCTGGTGCATTCCCTCTGGTCCTCTGTGAATTAAGGCCCATAGTTTCTTTGTGTTTTTCTAAATAATTGATTGTGTTATCTGAAATTGAGCATCCCTATTTTCTTGTGTGTTTGCGCTTATAATGTCCTTCTCAGTGCATGTGTGTACACACACACACACACACACACACACACACACTTGGGATCTCAAGTTACTTCAAAATGTAAATACATGATTGAGAGGGGAAGGAATAAAGCAGTTTTATTGATGACAAATTGTAAACAAAATATGTTCTTTTTCTCTGTATGGTTAAGTATTAACTTTGCTCCAATGAATTTTGATAGAACTTTGTCAAAGAAAGAGGAGACTCTAAGACACTTAGACTATAGCGTCTTCCTCTCTCCTCCTCCTGTCCCCCTCCCCTTTGTCTTTTTTTGTTTCTCTTTCTGATTTTCCTCTTCTGATCACTACAGTCGGTTATGGGGTTGGAGTGCTGATGGGTTATCGAAGCACCCACCTCCCTTTTCTCAGCCTAACTCCATTCCTACCGCTCCCTCCCACAAGACTCTCAGGCGCTCTTACTCTCCCAGGTAACACGCTACCTGTTAAACTTGTCTGAGGTGTCACAATATTATTGCATTTCCAAGGTCGTCTCAGGTCATTTGGAAAGCCTCTCTGCTGCCTCCATCGTGGCCCTGCTTTGGCTTAAGCTAGCAGGAGTAGAGCCTTGGTCAGAAGTGTGAGCAGGTGCGTGATCTCATGAGTATGGCTCCTACTGTGTCTCAGTGACATCAACTGAGCAAATTATCAGCATTTGCTATTGGGAGCCTCTCCGTCCAGTGAAATACTCTGTCCCTGGGAGGTACTCAGGCAAAGCTGTAGAATCAAGGCAGGTAATTGTGGGCAGTTTCCCTAGCACTGTTCATAAGTGTGCTAGGCATTCCCACCGAGAAGCAGCTGAGACCTGCTCTTTCCTAGACTGCATCTGCAGCTCAGTCCTACCATTGGTTATGTGGACTGAATGCTCTCACAGTGTCTTGCCATGTGGTGATACTCTGAGGATACAGATCCAGAAAGGCAGCCCTGAGAAGTGCCTTCACTGCTACAACTCCCTGAAGGTGCCCTGCCTCTAATGGAGGGTGCTCGGTACCCTCGCAGGCCCTGGGGCACTGTCCAGAAGAAGGGGCTGGGGCTTCCTTCAGATATGAAGACAGATGGTAAGTCTGTGTACAAAGTGAGGTCTGTGTAACCCTACAGATACCTGTTTGAGGGTCTCTTCCCCTCTTTCTGTAAAGGTCTGAAGAAAAGAGCATCCCTCCTCAAAAGCCATTGTGCTTTGTGAGATGAGATCATGCCCTCTGTGATGGGATGCAGATAGAAATGAAAACAGCCTGTTGCTTTTGAATGCTTCAGAGATAGTTTTGCATAGGTTTACATTCCTATTTCTGTATCCTCAACATGGAAAGCTGTACAGAGTAAACAAGTCAGCTAAATGTTTTAACAACATCTTCCCTTTGAAATTCCTAGAACTCCAAGGTACTTCTGAAATGTACAGGCGTGTACACTCCTATCATAACTGTTTCTAGATACACAAGGTTAGGCCAAGGGCACCCCGACACTGAGACACCTGTTGTCTTCAGTGTTGATAAAGCATGTCACCGCTCTACTGCTCTTTTCCTTTTTTTAAACAGTAGCCATGCCTCAAAATATAAGCCCCGTTTATTGACTGATTCTCAGCATACTGACCTGTGTGCCCTTGTGGGCACTAAGCTTCACCCCTGAGTCAGTCTTCCCAGGCAGAGGACATCTGTCCCCTGTGTCAGTCGTCACATGTGCACAGTAATAATGCTAATACTTAATAAATCCCTGCTGCCTCTGTCAGCCATCAGAGGGGGAGAGAGCTGACTAGAGATTTTGCACTTAGAAAACCTACTGAATACATAAAGCCAGGATGAAATCTATGTCTGTTTGTTTCTTTTGTGCCAAATCCCTAATGATTTCATAATGAGGAACAATTATCTATATTCCATACCTAGTATTTTTGAGAAAATGACAAGAAAATCTCAGCAGGCAAAACTTCCTGTCTCTAGTTTCTCTTTTCTAAAGACCTGACCTCAGGCACCTCCCTACCACAATGCAGATACCTTGCAACAGGCCAAGTCCAGAGCTTTTTTCTACTTGACTTTTGGGTGACATGGCCTTACCTTAGGTCAGTGCTATTCACTGATTGAGCAACTCCTCCTAATCTAAAGTATCCTAAGGAAACCTTTCTGGAGCCTAATCCTAGTGTGATGAGGATGTCCTAAAGGATTATGCATCAGAGCTGAAACAGGACAGGGTGTGGGGGCACATGATAGATTGGGGTTAACCGAACCAAGTTCCTTGTACGTAAAGCTGTTGCATCCCCTTTGCAGTTCCCTGTATATTGCTTGTTAGCACCCATGGGAAGTTCCTTTTCCCCTACAAAAACTAATGTTTCATGGGTATTAATTTGGGGGAAAAAAAAAACAACAACCAAGAAAAGTAGCATTATCTCTTTTTCATGAGAAGAAAACCAAAATGTCTCTCACCTGGAACTCACAGTTTTAGCTTCATACCAAGGAAATACTTCAGACCTTAAGCTAGTGAGTCTAAAAGATACATTGCCACAGCTTGTACTGGGTTATGCACATCTGCTCCTAAATTGGAAATCTGTGTTAGTTTATTAACTGAAAGTAAGAAGGGGAAATATTAACTGGCAGAATCCTTTATTTTCTTATTTTTCAAAGAGGCTATTATAGTGCTGAAGTTATGCGAACTGAAATGAAATATTTTAGGAGGTTCGAGTCACTGGGATGAATTATGTGAAAGCTAACATCATCTGAAGCGACATATGGAAAATAATATTGTGACATTCCTTAAAAAGCTCAGCGTTCCGCCAGACTTCCTCTCGTCCATCTCGTCATTCTTTGAGTTGTCGTTCCTTTTGCATGGGCTGTGCTGTTGTTTTTGGTTGTTGTGGTTAAAAGTATTTTAAGGCATCTTTTTACATCTTGTATGCATATTTTTTGTTTAAGTCATATTCCGTCTTTACATATAAAAATTAGCGTACTGGTCAGATGTATAAATGCCTTTGCTCATATATAAGCACGCATTGTGGGGCTCTATGGTGGAGGGGCCAGAGAGTCCCCATGCTCCTCAGTCATGCTTCCTTCACATTAAAGGGGTATTGCCTCATAGACAACCTTCTGAACTTAGAAGGGGTTGAAAATTTGAATGCTGTTCAACTTTTTATTCTACCCCCTGTTAGTAATATACATGGACTTTTACCTGTAAACGTGTTCATGTTCACATATCTTTTTGTTTGATGCCAGAGCCAATCTTTGAGTTGGCGCATAGTTTTGTGAACACTCCAAGTACAGGTGGGTGTGTATTTTCTTTCATCAGAGAAGAAAAAGCTTCCCTCTGGGCCAGTTTTGTAACGTTAGGCAAATCTCTTCCATCTCTAAGAGTCAGTTCAGATGTTGTGCTCAAGCAGCCTTTGAAAATGTGTGGATCATTATAACCTCTAGCCCGAGAGGTCTGGCTACCCCAAGTGAGAGATGTCCAGCTCTTGTCTTGCTTATCTGCCTAAATTGTGTAAAAAAAAAAAGGAAAGGTAGGGGAGAGGCCTTAAATAATGTTACCTGTTTTTAAGTTACAGGAAACTTAAGTCCTGTGTGATGTAGGAAGAGTTTCCCCCCTGCCGTGGGCATCTCATGTCAGTTATTTCTCTTTAGAGGGACAGAAAGATTGTTTTTATTTTGCCTTTAGTGTTGAGCAGATACTTACATATAACCAGGGAAGGCTCTGTATAGCTCAGACCTTCTGCAGGTAAAATTAGACCAACGATTTTAATCTTTTCTGGAATCTTTAAAGCCTTCTGAAACAAATGGCATTTAAACCAAGATAGTTTTTGGACCTGTCCTTGCTTGACTGTTGCTTCATGTTTTGCTTACTTTGTACTAGTGTATCCATCCCATGCTTCCCTTGATATCTTTAGTGAGGGATGGTGATGGGTTTTGTTTTTAGGATCTTCTCTCTGTTTCAGTGCATTGTGGGGCATCTAAAAACCACTTGTTTACACACTGCATTGTACCAAAAGGCTATTTAGTATTTTCACTTCATGTTTTGCTATCCTAAATATGATGTGTTTGACATCATTTTTCTATAAGGGAAATTACTTCCTGCTTTTTGAAGTGCTTTTAAAAATCCATCTAGGAATGTGACTCATGATAAGATTGGCTTTTATTATAAAACTCTTAGTATAAGCATCTAGAAGGGTTTTAGTCACAATAAGCTGCTGGGCTAGATGACATGAAAGACTCAGAAGCCCATCGATGGGGTGGATGTGAATTTGAACCATTGGGCTGGTTTTTTAGTTTTTAATAATAGGGTTGTATTTTAAGAGTCTCTGATATTGGTGAGCATAACCTGGGCTTGTTGCAATGGTTTGCTTTGTTCCTCTGAGATTTGTAAACTAGCTTTATTTGAAGTGTCTGTCTCCCTTAAGTTTGTACATTTGATACCAGTAACAACCAAGCAAGTTTTTTCCATCTTCAAGAAATGAAAGTTATTTTCCACTTTCATTACCTCGTGCATTCAGTCACCACTTGTCACTCTTTGAGTTCTTGCATTCTTGTGGTAATTGTTGTTTCCACTGGTTCTCACTGAGTGTTTGGAACCAGATTGGACTAAGAAGATGTGTAATTGTCCAGTGGTGGTACTCTAATAAACCTGTCTCCTTTTCATTCCAAATCACCTAAAGAAACAGAGTTATAAGTACATCTTAATTTGTAAATTATTGCCAATAATATATGCCCACAACTCAGTTTTATGCCTATATCTCAATTTTTGATCAAAAAAAATATTTTTCGTCTTTAGCATGCTGGACTATGATACAGAGAATCTGAACTCTGAAGAAATCTATAGTTCTTTACGAGGAGTTACAGAAGCCATTGAAAAGTTTAGTTTTCGAAGCCAAGAGGACCTGAATGAACCAATTAAACGAGACGGCAAAAAGGACTGTGATATTGTGAGTATCCCCAGCTAATAGAGCACTATATATGAATTCAGTGATAATTACTGACTCTTTAGTGATAATTACTCTGATTACTGTGTTTCATCATTTTTATCCTGTGATTAGATTAAAAGTAAGAGACCCAAAAGGCAATTTCACAAAACTTCGAATGAGCCTCACCTGTCTTTGAGAAGAATGCCAAATACCCTTTTTCTCAGTTTACGCTGATTTATCTAGAACACATTTTTATTCCTGGAATACAGTAAATAAAAATAGCCTGAATCAGACACCTAACATGACTCTCTGGGAGCTATAGTTTCATGCAGAGGCAGGCAGATAAGCAGGAGATGGTGATACACTGCATTTGGTCAGAGTTCAGCACTGAGGAGACTTGCTGCGCCAGTCTGGTGCTTGGGAAGAATCGCAGAAGAGGTGGTTTCAGTCTCTGAGCAGAAGCATGAAGGTCAGGTCAGGCATTTGTCAGGTCAAGTAGGAAGGCTGCAGTTAAAGGCAGGCCTGAGAAAAGGTGGAAAGATGGAAATGAACATAGTATGATATCCCCTTGGCTGAAGTTGAGGGAATGGGTATGTTGTGTCAGTGAGGTTCAGGAAGATGCTGCAGATGTCAGCTTAGAAAAGGTGATCACATGGGAGGAATTTCCAGCCAATGTCTTGACTTTACTCTGCAGTCGCCAGCACAATGGCTAATTCAAGTCCTCCAAAATATCCTCAAGGATTTTTGACCAGGGAAGTGGCGTGGTCACAGTTACATTTTAGGAAGATTGCTTATCACTGAGGCAGAGAATGTTTCTGGAGGAAGTCGAGTTTGGTTAGACATGAACAAAAATGGAAGAGTCAGAAATCTCTGAGTAGGACTATTAAGTAGGTGCTGGTACATTTCAGTGAGATAAATATAGAAAGAGAAAAAAAGTACATGTCAGCCCCTTTGGGATACAGTGATCTCAGTTTATAATATATGGGTTTGCGGGAACTGTGAGATATCCAAGCAAACGTATCCATTAGGACTTTGGATATGCCATTCTGGAGTTTAGGCTGTCAATTTGGGCTAAAGATAGAGATTTGAGAGACATAGACTAGTTCCTCGATGATAACTAAAGAAAAGTGAGTGAAATTATAGTTAAAAAGTAAGGACAAAATCTTAAGGCATATCGACAGTAAGAAATACGGGAAAAAAAGGAGTTGGGGAAAGAGCTAAAGATAATGATAGGGACACCACGATAGTGTGGGCTTATAGAGAAGTTCAGGGAAACTTTTAGGAAGGATATTCTAGCCGAAGGGTCTAGCTGCTGAGACGTAATCAGTCAGACACAGAGTAAATGGGCTGCATTGAATTTTTTTTAAAAATCTGCATTAAATATATTTAAAAACATAAAACACAGGGCCTCCCTGGTGGTGCAAGGGGTTAAGAAGCAACCTTTGAAGCTATTCATAGCCACTGCGGCACAAGTTCGATTTCCGGCCAGGGAGATGACCCACATGGCGCAACAGACCTCTCCTGTCTCGCCCATTGCTCCCCTCAGTAGTGCATTTCAGTTGATCTGCCTGTTCTATTCCCTGCTCTGTCTCTGGTGAATTCTCTCACCCCCAACACCTCTGGCCTGTACCCCAGTTCTTGTGTGCATAAATAAATCTTAAAAAAAAAAACAAAACATAAAACACACACTTATTCGCTGATATTTTAATCTATTGCTAAGACATTTTCTTTGAGAATGGGCCCAAGTTTGGACCTTCATGCTTTTCTCATGTAATTTTTTTTTAAATAAATTTTATTTTTATATTCCCCATATAATTGCAACCCCCTTATTTTGACCCCAATCCCTCCCCTCCCCGCCCCCCACCCCCCATAGAGTGTCTCAGGTTCATAGTTTTTTGTTGATTTTGATTTTCACTTTCTTATAGATATTCATTTTCCTGGTCCCTTATTTAAGTTTTCTAGATTCCTGCTATGAGTGAGACCATCCAGTATTTTTCTTTTTCTTTCTGGCTTATTTCGCTGAGCATGATCCCTTCCAGCGCCATCCATGTTGCTACAAATTGCATGCTGAGTAATATTCCATTTTCTCATGTAAATTTTATATAAAGTTATAAAACTTGTATGTATGTAGAGCATATCTACATGCTCTATCTTTGAGGAAAGCAAAATTTCTGATAGTATGTACACTATGATTTCCACTCTATAAAATCTATGTGTAGACAAAGACCTGGGGAAATAATATACACAGTTTAAAAAGTAATGTATCTTTTGTTACAGGTGATTAGAATTAGGATAATTTATATTTTTTCAATGTCTAAAATTTTGAAAACACTTTCTCCTCTTATAGATAGTTTTTTTCATTGTAATAATACTTGTTTTACTTTTAGAAAACTTACAAAGAGAAAAAAATTAAAATCATCTATGAGTCATCCTCCAGCAAGAGAAAACCCCTGTTAAGTCCTATTTTGTTCATATCTATGCACGTATTATGTATTCTTTTTACATTTTAGCAGTTAAATTAGTATACAACCTTGTTTGGGGATATTCGAAACCAAATGCATCCCAGCATTGAATGAAGGGACTTGAACAGATATTTGTAAACCTCTGTTTAGAGTAGTGCTACTCACAATACCTGGAAAGTAGAAATAGCCAAGGTACCCACTAACAGAGAAATGGATAAATGAAATGTGATATATATAGGGAGAATTACTGATTAGGTAAAGAATTTTGTTGGAGAAGATGAAAAAATTTTGCTCAATACAGCATAGTGGCAATGGTTATACAACATTGTGAATGTATTTACTGCCACTGAGTAATATACTTAGGAATTAGATGATTAATATGACCTAAGTGTATTTACCACATTTTAAAACAAACACATAAACTTGAAATGACATAGATATTTCTTATCAGCAGCACAAGTAAAAAATTTATCATAGAAATAACCAGTGTTGTAGCTCCCTGGAAATGTTTCCATATTTATCATTTAATGAAATGTCTGTGATGAAGAAAAGAACAGTTTTGCTCTGTTCCCAGAAGGCAACCCACACTTGCTCTGTTATAGTGTCCCCCTGTAAAGAGAACCAGACAGGTCATTGTGCCACAGAACAAAGAAACCAGAGAACATAGGGATGCAGAAAGCTGACTCAGGGGCCAGAGGGCCCAAATTTTAATCTCTTTAATTTGGAACTCGGAATATATTTAGAAAAAATATTCGTAAGATATTGAAAACCTGCTTTTTGATCCAATATAAAGACCAGAAATAGCCAAAGGAAGAATGTTTTCCCTAGAAAAGACTGAGTTCTCCATTGTAGGGAGGATAGAACATTGTTTGGCTCACCACGTGGTGGAAATTCATACAGGGGATTCAGGGATGGTTGGACCATGTTAGACCCTGTGAGGGTCATCCATCTGCTGTGTTGTATTGGGGTGTCAGTAAGAAAACCGTATAGTTTGTGATGACAACGGTAGGTGAAGTGCTGGCATCAAGATTCCAGAGGGGCTGGGGTGGGAGACCTGTGGCCTTTGCTCTCAAGGGGACTCTTCAGTATTGCATGTTATTAATCTCTTAAATTACAAAGCAGTATAGACTTTACATGTAAATTAATGATTAGGTGAAAATGTAAGCACATTCAGTTTCCTTTAAAGTGTTTTGTGAATTAGGTATTATAATCTCGCTATCTCGTCAATGGCGAGATTCCAAGTGTCTAATCTCTGGTTCTCCCAATACTTCTGAAAATTTAAAGGAAAAGTTTGTTAAATGCCCTTAAAAAGGACTGATGGTATGCTGTGCTCTAGGTATCCCGTGATGGTGGAGTTGCCTCCCCTGCCACTGAGGGCCGGGGAGGCAGTGATGTGGTGGAAGGAGGCAGAACGGCTCTGGACAACAAGACCTCCCTCCTTAACACCCAGCCTCCACGCGCCTTCCCAGGGCCACGGGCGCGAGAGTACAATCCCTATCCCTACTCAGACACCATCAACACCTACGACAAGACTGCCCTGAAGGAGGCTGTGTTTGACGATGACATGGATCAGCTTCGAGATGGTTTGTCTTTCTTTGTTTGATGGCACCCCCACCTTCCAAATGTACTTTCCATGGACTTCCCCTTTGGTCAGACCAGCTTTGGTCACACATTTGACATACCAGTCCAATGTCAGTGCAAACATGGGGTCTGTTCTGCTTAGTCATTTGCTTAACAACTACTTACTGAACGCCCACTGTGTGCTTAGCCTCAGAAGACACAACAGTGATCAAAAGTATGTACAGTCCCTGCCCTCTAAAAGCTTGTCTCATTGTGAAGGCAGTCGTAAGAAAAGCAGTCATACAGATGACGTAAAGCTGCAGCTGTGACCTCTGCAGTAGAGGAAGGCTAACCATTCCCCTCAGGGAAACTTGAGTGGAGGTCTAAAGGATGAGGAGAGTAGGCTTCCTGAGATGGGGAGTGAAGGCACAGCAGTCCCAGCCCAGGGCTCCACATTTATAAAGGCCTCTGTCATATACTTTCCCAGTTACTGAGTCTAGAAGTAACATCCTGAAGCCCTTCTGGAGGACTTGCTTCTCACACCAGTGTTTTAACCAGGTTTCGACAGAGCTGTTTATGTTGACTTCTGCCCTTGGGAGAGAAAAGATAGGATTGGCATACTGATCTCTGATGTGTGCTTGGTGCTAAACTGAGTGTTTTACATCTATTGTTTTATGGAGATATAGGGGATTATTTTACTTTACAGATCAAAAAACTGAGGTGCAGGCAAGTTAAGTTACTTACCCCAAATATTATATTTGATATGGAACAGTCTGGTCTTTTTCTGACTCTCATGTTAAGTAAGACCAGTGTCATGATGGTGACTAGTGAGTATGTATTGAAGGATGGTATTTGAAGGTATTTTATCTGGAACTTAATTTTTTTTTTTTTAAACCTTACTGCCATGCCCACATTTTGGTTTATTTCAACTTAACAATCATTTTTTAAAGATTGTATCAAGTCTGTTTTGTTTTTCAATTTTGAATAAAGACTTACATTTGAACCCTGCATTGGAACTCTCAGACAAATAAAATTCTCTGAGTGCCCACAGTGTGTCATGAAATGTATGGTCTGCTGGCACAGGTGGCAAATGAGACACGGTCCCTGGCCTCAAAGAGCTTAAGGCCTCGTTGGAGACAGATGCCCAGTTCTGTGGTGGCACCAGTGGAGGAGCAGGCAGGATAGACTCTTGAGATGGAAGAGGAGTCTTTAGTTGTTTGAAAGCAGACATACCTTCAGAAGTTTGAAAGCATAGTTCCTTGGCAATTAACTGCTTCTTGCTGGTGGACAGCAGCTGAGTAGATACCAAGTAAATACCGTCTATTTTTATGGCGGTAGGCATTGCCAGAATGCTTACTAGGACTTTCACTCTAGGAAGAGTGGGCTCTTTTCTTTCTTTGCTTATAGAATCAGTAAGTCATTTAACTTATCCATTCGTTGGGCAGATACAATTTAAATAGCTCCGAATGATTTGCCTTTGGTTTTTCCATCCTTTCTCTTTAAAATGGATATTCGGGGTTGAGGTCTTTTTAACAGAACTTGGAAAGAGAAAGATGTGCCTTTCTGCCACCTAACCTGGTACAGGTCCCTGCAGTGGTTATGCTGGGAGGTCTTGGCAGGTTCTACAGCCCGTGAATGTGCCACACTTGACTGGCATTTGTTTACTGTGCTGACTGCTAAACTTTGGCTGCTTGAGAGGAAATTGGAGGCTCATTGATCAGATGTGATAATGAGGAGGGCCTTGAAGACTGTGTGTACTTGAGTGGATTTGCTCCTGTAAGAGACGTCCAAGTAGTAAGGCCTAATGTAGGCCTGTGGCTGTGGGAAGAGACTTTGGAAGAACAAGACAGCCAAGGAGGGACTTTCGGAGGCTTCCCCTCTTCGTGTGAAATAGATAGAGGAAGCAGCACTTTCTCCTCTGTCAGAAATAAGGGGGACAGGATGGGAAGGAAGGGAAGGACATGGAATTTGGGGACTTGATGCTAATCTTCCCAATTAGTTTGGGGAGAGGATGTGCTCAGAGGGTAAAGGGCAAGGTTGGGGCCATAGAGAGACACACGGGGGTGGTGGGATGAGAAGGGAGAGCAGTCACCTTTTCCTCTGGGGGAGGGGAGCGCCATGGTGGGTGGCTGAGCACCTCTGAGGTGGCTCCTGCGGTCAACATTGCCTTAAGAAGTAACTTCTGTCTGTGTGTCTCACTAGTGCCCATTGACCATTCTGACTTGGTGGCTGACCTTCTGAAAGAACTGTCCAACCACAACGAGCGGGTGGAGGAGCGGAAAGGTGCCCTCCTGGAGCTGCTCAAGATCACCCGGGAAGACAGCCTGGGCGTGTGGGAAGAGCACTTCAAGACCATCCTGCTCCTGCTGTTGGAGACGCTTGGAGACAAAGATGTGAGCGCTTTCTGCGTCCTTCTGTGTACTGGGGCTGAGAGTCCTTTTCTGCCGGGTTTGGCTTCTCCTTCACTTCCTGTGCTGCGCTTACTCTTCACATCAAAACTGTTTTCAAATATTTTCTGAGCGCCTATTTTAGTAAATAAGTTTTTTGTCGGAGATAGGCCCCGTCCTAGCTTAGATGCAAGTTCTCTTTGTAATTGGGTTTGTGGTAGTTGAGGGAAGTTTGTTCCTGTATCTGTTTACTTTTTTAACACAAAAATTTTAGAACTTCAGAAAAGTGTTTTTATGGCAAACATTTTTCCTTGTGAGTTTATGTTTCACGTGTAACTAGGAAATACATGGGCTTTTTTTTTTAAGATCTTTCTAAATACTGAATTCCAGGAAACTCTGTGTTGGTTTAACCCCCCATATGTTAACAGTTCCAGTCAACTTAATTGGTCAAATGGTCGGTTCCAGAAGTGTGACTCTTATTATTTTTAAAATACAATGCTCTCCTCACACCATGAGATCGGGATGTAACAAACTGGCATCTGCGCCAGGTTTGGTTCCATACATAGGGCATATAGCTCTGAAAGGAGGGAATGATCTAGCCAGAGTCCTGCTTTCTCCTACCAGGCAGCTGATACTTTATACAAGGACAGGAATCAACATTGGAAATTACCCAAATTAAGCTCTTGAAGTAAAAAATCCATCTCCCTGCTTTAGGCTTTGTGTACGCTAGAAACAAAAATGAAGTAAAGTAGGGTGAGATAAGGAAGGTATGGTGGAGTCGAGGGGCAGGATCAGGCGGATTGTAAAGTTCCACACAGCCTGTGGGCACACTGAAGGTGACTCGGGTGGAGGGTGGGTGAGGGGAAGGCTGTGGATTTCATGGGGGCTCTTAACTGCTCTCTGATGCCACGGTTGATGGTTTGGCATTGGGTGGGGGGGAATAGAAGAATCTGAATTAACTTTTCTTTAAACAAAATATGAGCTGCTGAAGCACTTCTACTTGTTTGGGCTTTGCTAGGAGATAAAATGATGTCATGTAGAGGGCAGAGAGGTGTTCGTGTGTGAATTGTACAGATGAGTGGCAAAGAATCAGGATGTGCTTTTGGGCTGTGTCTGGCGTAAACTCCATTCTCTTATATTGAGATTAGGAGTCTGTTTGGAATGGCTGTCCTCCAGATTCATGACTCGGCCTGTGCACATTCCCCTCCTCCATGATCTCATCATAGAAGGTCAGGAATAATGACAGGTCTTCTGCTGTCCTTAGGGTGTCCACAGTCTTACGGGTCACATTGATGAAATGTTTAGATGCTTTTTGCCTATCCTTTTGTACACTTTTCAAAAGGGTAATATGTACTTAAGCCTCTGGAAAGCCCTAGGAAATTGATCAGATTTCCGGCACCCAGATATACCATCTTCATTTAGTCTCACTTGGTCCTCTTTTGGCACGTTCAAGAAGCCTTCATCACCTGCCTCTAGTGGCTAGATCCTAGGACTGCCCCACTGACACAATACCTGTCCTCATGGAGCTGACCACCTGGAGGGCAAGTAAATAGTGTCATCTGTGTCTACGTGTGTGCAAGGTGTCAGGACTGGTCTGCTTATCAGTGCTGTGATTGTCTACTGATGCCTTCCTTTCCTCTTAAACTGCAGCATTCCATCCGAGCACTAGCACTGAGAGTGTTACGGGAAATTCTGAGAAACCAGCCAGCAAGATTTAAAAACTACGCCGAGCTGACGATCATGAAGACTCTGGAAGCCCACAAAGACTCCCATAAGGAGGTGAGCCGGGCCTGTGGCCCAGGGGTGCTTAACAGACTGGTCTGGGGTGCAGTGTAATTAGGGTAGAGAGAGAGAGAGAAAGAGAGAGAGGGGGGATTTGTAAATCAGTGTTTGAGCTTTAAACACCGTTGCAACCCCATTGCTGTCGTGGCTGATGAGCAGCAGTGCCACTCTAGGTTCATGATGCCCTCCATGCATACAGCTGGCTGACCTGTCCCAGGGATTTACCATGTCAGCAGTTCCCATGGCTTTGGTCAACAAGAAAGGTCTGCTTTCCTTCTGGCATTCAGTGCCTGGCAATATAGTCTAGTGTGGGTGGGAGATTGAGATTGGCTTTGGTAACAGAAGTGTGAGTCCTAAAACCAGCGCTTCCTTGCTCCAGAACCTTGGCCAAGTTATTTCACTTTCTGAGCCTTGGTTTTCTTGTGTGTAAAATAAAGGTGGCTATTATCACAGTTTCTTGGGACAATTGCATGCAGCCATCAGGTAAGGTCCTGGCCCAGCACTTGACCATGGGAGGTGCTGTACTTTCTTGGCCATCCTGCCTCCCCTGGCTGCTAGAGCCTCTTCCACTAGCTCCTGAACATTCCAAACACTAGCCAACTGCCTGGGTGGTTCTGGCTCCTCATATGTTTATCAGAGAACAAGCAGGAAGTGTCTGTGTCCTACACACAATGCAGACATTGGGCACTCAGTAAGTTCTCATCCCATTGTGCACTTAGTTCTTTTAGCCCTGAGAGCCCCCAGTCCTTCAAGTATCCAGAGGCCCACAGAGAGAGGGAGGTGGAGAGAGCTATTGTAAATAAAACGCTTTCAATAACACCCTTCCAGTAAAGGCTGTGTGAAAAACACATGTGTACTTAGAAGTTTAGAAAGCTTTCCAAATGGTTGGCTTCTCCCCAGAATTAGACCTAACCACCTGCTTAATTCAGTGGCAGTCTCTTGGCTCACATGGGACCCTTTGACCATGCTCACTAATTAAAGGAATTGTGATTTAAAGCAACTCTTATATCTACCCAGAGAATTGTACCCTAAATCATTATTTTTCTCTGTTTAGCAGTTGGGTGGGTACTAAAAATTCAGCAGGTATGTCACCTCAGATTCCCCACCATGATTGCAAGCTCAGTAAGGGCGAGGTTCTCCTGCTCTTTCTAGAACTTTCCCCTGAATAGTACTAATTCAACACAGGCTACATTGGTGACTGTGTGTGTTTTCAAACCAACAATCTGCCTCTGAAATCAGGTTGGTTGTATGATTGTAATAGTCACTCATGTGTGAACAAAGCACTTTCCATTACAATAACTCCTGTTAAAAATAAGAGGGCCAAATGAGGTAATATGACCAACTTAATTATTCCTGGGTGAGGGGAGAGGGTCCAAGAGGTGCTGTGATTTATCAGGTGATGCACAACAATTAGCTGTAGAACCAAGATGAACCAGGTCATGTCTTTTTTTTTAAGGGGCAGCTTCTTGTACTGTGTATTATATCCCATAGTCGCTTAATGAGTATGCATGATCAAGCAATGAAGTAGAATTGATGTTCTTTTACATATGACACAAATTGTTTTCATGAGAAGGACATACTTAGAATATGGCATCAGGGCGAAAGTTTGGTACTTCCTTACTATCTCTTTGGAGGACGTCTGTCTTTAAATTAAAGGGGGGCCCCTGATCTTAAACTTCAAAGTTCTGACAGTAGACCTTAAAATACTAGGTAACGGAATTAATGAATCCATTTGCTGTTTATGTTTTTTTGAGGGATCTTGTTTTTCCCTGTCCACTGAGAAATTTAGGAGAGAAAGTTCTTAAGTGTTAAGTCCCAAGAGCAGAAAATATCTGCTGCTTAAAGTAAATTGAGCAGCACCCTGTTGCCATGGAATTCCTGTGACCCAAAGATCTTCACGCTGCTGTCACTGATTACCTGATAAAGCAGGTGGAGGAAACATTGTGTTCCAGAAGGAGCGCCTTGGCAGGTCTTCTGTGCTTTGCATACTTTCAGACTCACCTTGACTCGCCCTTGTAGTTTTCTTAACAAGACTTCATTCTGTCACTTTGCCAGCAACTCCCTACTCAGGCACTAGTATATTTGATTTTGTTAAATTATTCTTTTTGGTTTTTTTTCCTTTAAAATTTTTCTAGTTTTTCTCTTATTTTAATCAACCTGCTTCTCCACCTTGTTTGTGTTTTTTTTTAGGGCAGAATACTTAGATGCAATAAACTTTGTGTTGTGTCCACCTTGTTGACATATAATATTGCTTATAGTGGTATGTAATGTTTCTGTAGTCATTACATTTTTCTCATCAGTACAGTCAAACATTTATTTAGACACTATTCGGGCATTTATTGGAAGACAAATCAAGAACATTTCTAGACTGATTAAATTAGTCCTAGAAAAGCAGAGTGTATTCCTGTCTAATGAGTACTTCCAGAGTGTGTTCCTCTTGGGTGAATGTTTCTGGAACAATCCAGTGGTTTTGTATTCACAGACAAAATCCCGGCTTCCCCAGAATTTGCAGCATGTGAGGACTCTGAGAGACTGGCTCCGTGGGGCCTGCTGTGGTGGTGGCAGCACCAGTGTGCATACTCTCCTCCTTGCTGTGGGACTGTAGCATGAAGCTTCTTGAAATGCAATTTCTAAAAATTAAAATTTTTCATATTTTTAGGGAAGATGAATAAGGCAGGACTGATGATAGATCACTTGTTTATCATTTGGTAAGCCAGGGTCTGCTGTTTCAAGGGCTTTTAAAAGGAGCTGTGCCTGTAAAACATTTCTCCCATTTACTAAAGATGTTTCAGGCTGTGTCTGGGTCAGGCACCATCCATCCTATGCTAACATAGATTCCTACAGTAAGCAAGATAGAAGATTTAGGTACTAATTTAGCACTTGATTTTTAAGTTGGTATTTGTCTGTTTAGACATAATGTTTTCATATTTACTACTGAAATTAGTGAATTTCTCATTATTTAAGTACTTGCTACTAAATAGTTCTTAGTAAATAGATTCCAGTGCTTCATTAATGAAGTTATGGTGACTTACAGAAGCATTAGCATTTTGTATACGTCTTAAAGGGGCTAAGATCTTGATTAGTGGCCTTTTAAAATCTTCAGCCTGTATTCTGTTTTTCAGCAAAACTCCATTAATTTTAACTGTTCTCATTTTAGAATGTATAATCTGTTTGTTAAGGCTGGTACAGAATCTCTCATTCATTAATTAAGAGGGGATTTAATAAGAGAATTGATACTACCAATGAGATCCTGAGGCCATTGTGAGGTATAACTCTGGAGACAGAAACCCTCCTACCCACTCAGTTTCTGCTGTCGCTTTATAACTTTGATAAGCATGACTGTTGTGAGAAATGACAGTGAAGTAGAAATTCACTTTTAAAACGGTCCTATGCTGTACAAATATTCAAACTTTTCAAAATTCATTTTCTTGGTAAACAATTGATACACAAATTACAAATCCTCTTGTATTACATTTAATGCATAAATACTTGTTGCTACCAGCATTGTCTTGCATGTAGTGCCCAAAATGCTGAAGCATTTGGTAAATATTTTGCTTAAACTTGAAAGGAGCACCGACTCTATTTCTTGAAGATAAAGAGAGACTTAAAAGGAGACATTTTAATTATTTGGCTTAGCTCTTCCTGAACTTGTCTACAGTAGTGAATATTTAATTGCATTTGCCTATTAAAAGAGGGAAATGTCGACATTTTTTCATATCACTATACTGGATCACCAGACATTTCTTGCCAAACACAAAAGTCTTGGTGTTTGGGGCATCAAAATCCAGTCTCAGGTGGTTTAGCTTATTTGAGGAAGTTTGTTTCTTTAACTTTATATTTAATAGCTTCAAGGAATTAAAAAAGCAAAACCAGATGAAAATTATTTTAAAATCAAAGACCTTATTTTCTGGCTTCTGCTTCAGTCGCCAGCATGGTGTGTCTTTATCATGGCCAGAGAAAAGTGGGAGTGTGTCAAACAGAAGGCATTCTAGTAAGCTGATGTTCTGCTTCAAATACAAATTGAAATCATTAGTTGGCCAGGTCTTCACCGGCCCCCTGCACTCTGGAATGCCCCCTCATTTGGTTCTAGAGAACAATACATTGTGTGAATCCAGAGAATTACTTCACCTTTCTGGACCTTGGTTTTTCTTATCTGTTAGTCCAGGGAGTGAACTAGATTATTATCTGTCTCATCCAGCCTCAAGATAATAGAAGTTACTACTGAGTAACAAAACCTAAATCTCCATTTCTAAATCGCCAGTTTTCCATAGGTCCAATCTGGGAATGTCGCCAAATGCCCTACTTCCTTTGTTAAAGCCTTTGCTTTTTAACAAAAAGATAAAACCGGAAGCCTGTATGGTCATTCAGAGGTTCATAGTTGCTGAGCCAGCATTCTGACTGTAGTAGCACATACTCTAGTAAATGTTTTCTTATGGAAGGCAAGGGGCGGAAGCACTCCAGTCTTCAGAGAGCTTATGGTTTAATTGAGATTCAAGCAAAGGAATCAGCATGGGGTTCATAGTGAAGTGCACTAGGAATTTGGAACTGATATAGGTTAAGGAAGAGTGCTGGAGGCAGTCAGAATCTGAAACTAGCTAAGTAGTTAGGGAGGGAATTCTAGCAGTGAGCCAAGGCAGCATGACCGGTGGGAAGGAGCTTGGACTTAGAAGACACGCCTGGCCTGAATCCCAGTGAACCAAGACTGCATTTGTGTTCTGTATGCCAAGTGGAGGAGCTGTTTCCCGTCTCATGGGATGGGTGTGAAATCCCAAGCATGGTGTTACTCAGGGCAAGGAGAAATGGCGCCTCTTCTCTGGTGAACTTGCCCTTTTAGAAACCAGTTGTAACTCCTGCCCTTTAGCTTCTGGAGCTTCAGAAAGGATAGAAATAGCTTACAGACAGAAGACAGTTGAGAGGGCCTTTCTTTAATATTAGAACCTTTGAGTTTGAATTTGGAAGACCTGGGTTCTCATCCTACTCTTGCCACTTCTTTGGCTCTGTTTCTGTGTCAAGTCACAGAAGCTCTCTGGATTGCTAAAATCCTTGTCTGACAGATGACTTGAAAGCAGGGATGCTTATGCCCTGCAAGGTCTGTCCCTCGGGGCTGATGTTGAAGTCAAGTGAGGTAAGATGTCTCATATTGAAAACTGAAAATATTATTTTTTTTTATCCTCTTCGATTCTAAATAGAATAGTCAAGGTTTCTGAATTTTCATAAAGCAGCTTTAACTGCATTTCTCTAAAGATATCTAAGCAGGCTACTTCAGTTCATTTGAATGAACTTTAAAACTCCACTGAAAAACACAGCTTGCGTCTTTGGGCAGCTGTGCAGGCTGACTAGATGCCTGTCCTGGCATGGCTGTCCACTGTCATGTAGAGGTGGATGTTGGGGAAGCAGAGTAGTTGTTGTCTGTGGGCTGCCCCGCCTCCCATTCAAGATTTAGGTTGCCCCCAAAGCCCCCCTGAGAGGCCACCCAGCCCTCCCTCCCCAGGTGGTGGTCTCCAGATGGGGACAAAGCCACTTTCTTGGCTGCCTGCTCTCTGACACCTCAGCATTTTCCCCTGTTGGCTCTAATCCTACCCCTTGGGTGGGATAGCATAAGTTTCTCACCTAAGAGCCTTACCACATTTGACAATAAATAGTGTTTCCCTGAATTCTGCTTTTCTAAACAAGGCTGTGATGATGGCTGTCTTGTTAGAGATCCTTTCATTCAGACTGTGCCTCTTGAAATTGTGTGGTGTGTGGTACACTCGTGTGCACTCACGTGTGCATTCTTGCACACACACATATTTCAGGGGAAAACACCGATCAAGTAGAGCTGAGGGTTTGGTAATACAAAACACTGTAAAAATTCTTGATTAAGATTCCCCTGCTCAGCTTACTGATAGAGAAACTGAAGTCTAGAAAGTAGAGGATGCTTTTCCCAAGATCACCTCACTAGTTGATGACAATCAAATCTAAAACTCAGGCTTCCAGACTTTGAACCTGGACTTTCCGTCCTTCCTCTGGGACCTAGCCTAGCTGAATGATGACTAATCCCAGGCTCCGGCCCATATTTGCCCTCCACCTTATGTTCTAGAACTTCCAGCAGTGCCAGCAGTTTCCCCACGCCCCTGGTGAAAACTAAACTCAGCCCAGAAGTGTGCACAGTCTTCCCAGCTTTTTCCAGAAGGTGGCGCCAAGCTTTTCCTTAGCTTCCAGATAATGAAGGAACTAAAAAACTAAGTGAAATACTGAGAAGAATTCTTTGATTCTAGTCGTTTCTTAACGTTTGCTTGTTTGCTTGATTTAAATTTTTTTATTCACCTAGTTATTCTGATATGTCTGTTACAGAGCCAAATCAAACTTTGCAAACTTAAAAACATGCAATCCAAATTTTGACAAGTTCTATGCTCCAGAAGAAACCTTATCTTAAAGCAAACATTTGTCAATATTCTCAGTAATGATCTCATTTTTTTAAGCCAGGTGAGGAAATTATACTTTTCCTAGCTAGACACTGTTATTTCACTAACTTTGAAAAGGAAGAATTCCTATGTTTCTAAACTAGACTGCAGCAAAATCAACAGAATTGGGACAGTTTCGCTGGCCTGAGGGTGGATTATAATCTAAAAGCCTTCTTGATTCTGCTGTCTCTCAGGAATATGCCCCACCTTCATTCTAAAACCCTTGCTTCTTCTGGCCACCTTGTCTACTGAACAGTATTGTCTGCCTTCCTTTCTGCTGCCCGTGTTTACTTTTGCTCTGTTTGCTTACATTTATAATCTTTGCTTCTTATGTTACATAGAACACAGGGGCAAAACCTAAAGTTCACCCTGATTCAGGCAGCTTGCCAAAAGCTGGGGGCTTGGCATATATAGAGAGGGGAGTCCAGAATACCTACTTGCCTTGCCGCAAATAGTCTCTGTCTTGGGAAACCTTCTCTAGCTCTGTAAAGGAGAGGGCCTCAAGCGCACCCTTGTGAAGTACAGCTTCTGTGTTTTATTTTCAGACATTTTCCCAAAACCTCCTTGTGGTTAGGTACATTTCATTAAATGCTCCAAGCAGGAGACAGCTAGAATTCCTGGAGTTTTGTAAGTGGAGCTTCTCCCGGGTTCTGGGTTACCCATTAGATCTGAAATAGTCCATTTACCGAGCAGCACACTTTAATTTCCATGTTTAAAAACTAAGACCCAAGGATTCCTCACTTAGTTTTACTTAGCTTCTCACCGGTATGTCTTCCTTGTGTGCAGTGATTTCTTACAGTAGAAAGACATGGGTATTACAGCACTGTCCCGGTGTGGAGCCAGATTTAAAAAGGGATGAGCCCTTTCTTTTCCTTATCACCACCTGCTTAGCTGTATTTCACTCAGCCCCATGCCAAACACTTGGTTTTCCCAAGTACGCCATGGACTTACAGCGACCTTGGGGGTGGACATGGACTGAGGCAGGAAAAGCACTTCATCTTAGGTAATTCATTGTATGGTGCAGCTCTTCTAAGAAACATGTTCCCCCTCTTCAAACAGCTGATTTCTGAAAAAATTAATCTGAACTGTAACATCTCTTTTCCAAAGAACAGATCTGTTGTCTTTCTTTGTGTCACCTAGAAGGGGACACTCTAGTCTGAGTTTGGTCATTTGTAGGTATCCTGCCTTCTTGCTCATTTTCTGAGCTAGCTCCTTAGTTGACTAGGTAAAGGCAGGTCAGTGAGGCATGCCCAGAGGGGACTTCACCAGTCTTGAGCATGAAAAATATATATATACGCTGTGGGAAAATAGATTGGATCCAACATCTATCAAGCACATAGTGCGTGTCGGACACTGTGCTGGGTGTGGACAATAGAAAGATGACTGGGCTGGGAGCTTGCCTTCAAGGAGTTTCTTATGCAACAGGAGAGACAATTTAAGTATTAGGTGTAAGTATAATGATGAGGTGTGTCCATGAGGTTTCCTGAAGGTTCTTTTGAGTGGGTGAGCCCTGAATGAAGAACACAAGTGAGTGGCATTAAGGAAGAGTGAGAGATGACACAGGGGCACTGCCATGGCTGGTATCCCTCTACTCAGTCAAGAAGGATGGCAAGGAAACACCACTGGACATAAAGACGGGAGCCAGGCCTCTTTGACCTTTCATGCTGTTTCAGAGAATGTGAGCCTGGCCATAAGGCTAGTGTTGCAGAGAGGTGATTGGGGAGGGCAGGCCCACCTCATGGCGGCTCTAGGCCAGATGAGAAGAGTTTTCCGGATACTGGTGAGGACAGAGCTCTGTTCCTGGCAGCTTGGGAGTTCCCGGGCTCCCTGCTGTCCCTCATGGTAGCGTCTCTGCTGCCAAGCCCTGCTTTGGGCCTCCACCAGGGTGACCCAGAGACGTCCTGTGCTTTGTAGTTATAGTCATCTGTGCACTACCTCTCTTGACCCAAGTGACTGTGTAGGTAAGTGTTTTTAAATCTCCACTTTAGAATTTTTAAAAATTGAGGCTCAGGAGCAGTCTTTCTGCCCACCTGTGACTATGCAGGTGCTTCCTGTCACCAACTCTGTCCCTCTGCAGGGCAGCAGCTTCTTACCTGCCTGGGCTTCTCTTCCCTGACCTCCCTCAGTGGAGGCAGATCTCCTCAAGGCTTCCCACCTGTAACCATGCAGGCCTCTCTCAGCAACCCTGTCCCTTCGGGGCAGCTCTTCCTGCCCGCTGGTGTCTATGCAAGTGTCTTTTACTCTTTTGTCCCTTTCCCTAATAAACCTGCTCTTTAAACATAACTACCATCTCTGTCTCATGGGGAAACTCACCTGGAAAACTCACCGCATGCTGCAGAAAGGGGAGCTTTGGTGACACCTTTCCCAGAGTGAACCCAAGGACTCCGCACTCCAAATCCATTGATTCCAAAAAAATGACATCACACAGGCCATGTCTGATGGCGATCTGACCTCTCAGACATTCAGAATGTAGTCCACTCCTCCTTAGATCCCTCATGCCTATCACAATCATCAGCAACACTTGTTGACCACTTTTGAAAATATGTCCTAAAAAAAATTTGAGGCTCAGACCAATTAATTTGCCACAGGATTGAACTGAGGTTTGTCTGCTGCACTGTTCTCAGAGGCTGGAATATGTTCATCCAACTCTGGAAATGGCTTTTCTTGGGGTGAAAGGTTGAAGGTCTTATATGCACATCAGAGTCAAAGAGCTTTCTGTTGTCAGGGCCTGTGTGAAGAAAGGTGCACTTGGCAGGAGATTGAGTTGATGGTCACAGAAGCACAGTGGGCTTCATTTACTAGTCTCCTGTGCATACATGTCTGAGGTGGGGCAAGGGACCATAAATGTTGTAACTAAGTTAATGCTTGCTGACGGGGACATCTGTTCACTTAAAGTGCCATTTGGCTCACCCACACCACTGGCTTCCCTGGGGGAAAAAGCAGGCAGGGTGAGTTGTCTATAAAACCCGGGACGTGGAGCTGGAGGAACCCCGCAGAACATCACAGAAGCCTTCTGCAGACATTCTTTCTACTCCTGGCCAAGTTAGGAGACACCAGCTAACCCCTGCCTGTTTCTGTGACCTCCTCAGCCTCTTCCTGGACCTTTGCATCCTCATGCTGCCTCTCTGCTTGGAACACCACCCTGCCTGGCACCACGGGGTGGGGACAGGGCGGGTGGATCTCACCTTGTGGCTGGAGCGCTTAGCTCAGACCCCAGCACTTTGTGTGCATGGGCACAAAGAGCACAAATGGAAGGCGGGGAAGGATGGTGACAAAAAATTAGTGAGACTTTGAAGTTCCTAAGAATCTTACCAGCTTCTTGAAGTAGCACGAGGCTCTTTTCAAATAAAATGACTTTTTACCCAAACCTGACCTTCCCCACATATATGTAAGCATGACAACTCTTGGATATGTTGACACCGGTTTTCTTTTATGTATGAAAACATAGTTTTTGCCCTTGAACCAAGTTTGTCCAAGTCTCCATATTGTCTCTTGAGAAGATTAATCCATAATCCCAGTGTTCACCCCCACAGGTGTCTGCGCTGTGTCCTCCAGCCAGAGGGTGATGGGGTGGGGGTCGGTGGGGGGCACATCTTCCTTAATGAGATACCTTAACTTTGATCATGCCTTAGGGAGATAGCAGGTCTTCCCAGGAAAGTTTAAAGGGCCCCCAACAAGAAAGAGATGTGACTTTCAGAATTTGGGAAGGTTGGGCTTCCTTAAACAAGGACATGTGCTCGGGCAGACAAGGGAATGAAGTCTAGTCCATCAGTAAGACTGGGAAACGCCCAGCCTTGCTCGCTACATCAGGTCAAAAGAAACATTCCAACCCCTGCCTGCTAGGCCTCTGTGGATAAGAAGAAACAGCAAATGTTAGCAAGGATTCAGAGCAATCACTCTGGGCGCCAGACTTAGAGAACGGTTCTGGGAGTTGAGGGGAAATAGCTCATTCTGCTAGTTAGGGAGGCCTAGGGAGGACACTGCTCCTGTGTCAGCCACATTTATTGGAAGGATAGTGAGTTTCTGCTTTAGCAGAGGGCAGTTCACAGAAACAGTGGGAGATGAGCAGATACAGTAATGATTACTGTAATGCTAATGTGATACTAGCTAACACTCAAGGAGTACCCACACTTTCCAGGGCTTCAGTTCTGTTCAAGGGCTGCACTGCCAACCCTTGATCTCAAAGGGACATTTAGAAGAGATTTTTAGGGCCTCACTGGTGGCCTAGAGGTTAAGTCTCAGTGCTGTCACCTCTATGGCCTGAGTTCTATCCCCTACCAGGGAGCTAACTCACATAGGGCACAGAAGACCTTTCCTGTATCGCCTGCTGCTCCCCTTAACAGTGTGTTTCAATAAATCCACCTGTTCTGTGCACCACTCTGGTGAATCCTCTCACGCCCACTGCATCTCTGGCCTGTACCCCAGTTGCATTATGCAAAAATATTTTAAAAAATAGATTTTTTATTAATACATCTTCCTTGCTATAAATGTTGATGTAATGGCTGCTGCAGTTTTTCAATATGAAGAAAATAAAATGATCCATAATCTTACCACTGTGAGATCAGGATTATTAGCATGTTTGTGCTCTCCTTTCTGGGTTCTTTATCATGTTAAATGGCAGGTATTGGAGCGCGAGTAGCCAAAGTGAAACTTCTTAGTGAAGAACCCATTATTAGTATGGCCCATAACATGACGATTCTTCAGTGAGATGAATTCAGCTCTCAAGTGTTGGAAGAATTGCCCTTTACTGTTCCAGAGAGCAGAGCAGACATGTGGGCCAATGATGCACACTCTGAAAGTGAGCCCTGTTCACATGGCAGTGTCGCCAGGGTCGAACACAGGCTGAAATACATCATGTCGCAAGCTGTGACTACAGAGCCCTGGGATCTAATCCTGTTCCTCTTAGAGAGATGACCTAGAGAGGCTCTGGGCGACAGTGCTTCCATCAGTCCCAAAGTGCCCCAAAGCCACCCCGGTGTCCACCATGCAGCTGAGGTTGCCTTCGTCTCCCACTCACCCTGACTCATATGGACTCATTATTCTTAGTCTGCTCGAGCCCAAGACACTTTCCAGATGGCCTATGTGCTGATATTGTTGTTCAATCTTTGCTTAAATCAGAAGCTTGTTGCCATGATTTGGAGGCCTGAGCTGGTAGATAGCCTTGGACTTCGTTGCTGAGTTAAAGACAACTGAGTTATTTCGAGTAGCTGAATCCAAAGCAGAGAAGAATCTGGGTGTAATGACCAGTCCAGGGCTGGCAGTAGGACAAAATATTAGCTTTTCTTTGTATTCATAGGAAAATGCACATCTGTTTCTAGCCTGGTATTCTCCTGTGCCACTAGTGGCGGTAGTTATCATTTACTGAATTACACCTTAAACCACCCATCAAATTGTGCCTGCAAGATATTCCCATTTTATAGATGACAACATGGGGGTTTACTCTTATGGCATGACCAGCATCACTGGAATTGAATTCCAGCTCTCAGCTCAAGGCCTGTGCTCTTTCTACCACTTCCGCCATGCTTTTTCTTCTTCACTGGGGTTTGCCTTCTACCTTTCCAATAAGCTTTTGCATGGCCTTGCTGGCATTTCTTGAGCACATGCTTCATATAGCTAGTGCATGGTCTCCTAGAGGTTAAAGGCTGCGCCTATGGCTGTGAGGGCTGTTGTGTGCACTTCCTTAAAAGTGCCAGGTGATAAGACAGGAGCCCAGATTCCTGGAAGAGGAGGCTCCTCAGGAAAACACTCAGAGAACTCCCCCAGAACCTGCCCAACTAACGGCTTTACGATTAAGTATCTCCACGGAAACAGAATTGAAGTCATTCTGATTTTTTGTTTTTGCAGATTTTCCTCTCTAGTTAATCAGTTGTAGGTGTCCCGTGGGTTATTGGAAAACATTTTTTATACATATAAGAATTTTGTATATTTAATTTTTCATATGTATAAGAATTTCCTAAGTCTTTATGAAAACACCTTGCTGAGCTCCACCTCCACATTCTCTGATTTAGTGACTCTGGGGTGAGGCCTGAGAAGCTGCATATTTTGCAAGAAACTTGGTTGCTGCTGTGAGGGGAGACTACACTAGAGAATCACTTTTCTGAGACTTTTACCAGAATCTTCCTTAGTTGCCTTTTCATGTACCCCATTCCCCTTTAACCAAACCTTTCTGCTTGTACTTTATTTAACAAAATTAGCCAGTGGAGGTAATCGCTGCCAGGCAGCATTAAGCAAAGTTCTGTCATTTGGTCTCTGAAATAAGGCAGCAGTGTTCTTTGATTTTTCTGTTCCTGGAACTTGGGCATTCACTCACTGGGGGACCTGGTGTTGCAGGTGGTGCGAGCAGCAGAGGAGGCTGCGTCCACACTGGCCAGCTCCATCCACCCAGAGCAGTGCATCAAAGTGCTCTGTCCCATCATCCAGACCGCTGACTACCCCATCAACCTCGCTGCCATCAAGATGCAGACCAAAGTTGTGGAGAGGATTGCCAAGGAGTCATTGCTGCAGCTCCTGGCTGACATCATCCCGGGCTTGCTGCAGGTAGGCCCCTCGTGCTGGCTGTGTGGGCCTATGAGACCAGGAGCAGGGGCTGCTCACCTCCCAGTGACATGGGGACTTGGCTGTCCTCATTCACTTGAGAGGGTGCCAAGAAAGCAGGTGGTGACCTTTGTTTTAGGACCTATGAAACTGACTTGCACACCTCATATCTCCCTTGTTTTCTTGCCCACCCTCCCCTGAATGAAGCAGGAAGATTTTCCTGGCAGCCTCGAACTGTGGCTCGCAGAATGAGCTTTGTTTACTATAAACATATTTTGATCTTTTTTGTTGCTGTTCATTCCCTCAACAAACCGTGATGCACATCTGTGGGCCCCAACCCTGGGCAAGGTGGATCATGGGATCCAAAATCAAATAATGTTCCTGGCTTTCATATATCTAGCAAATATTTGTGGAAACCTTTCCAAGCAGGAGCATCAAGTTAGACAGACTCTGGAAGATAAAAGATGTTTTGCACTGTTCTAGCACAACCTCGAGGATTTTTTCAACCCACTGTGGGACAAATACAGTCCAAAGGACTACCGTAGATGACAGCTCCTGTGCTGAGTTACTGTAGGGGGTGCAAGTGGAGAATTCAGACCCAGAGGTAGCAAGGTAATCTCCGGGCAGAAAGAGCAGAGAGAGAAGCACTCATTGAAAAGGTGGTTTAGAATTGGGTGGGCCCTAAAGAGAGTTTTCAGTAGGAAAGGGATGAGAGCAATGAGTTTTATATTACTAAATGGTACTATTTGCTAAGCAGTTGGCTTGGGAATTTAATACATGCTGTTGAAGACTGGATTATTCCAGGCAGAAAAAAAAAGACGCAGAGGCTGAAAAATCCTGAGGCCTGATTGGAGAACAGCAGGTAGTCCCATGTGGGCGTGGGGGTGAGGCTGGCATTGAGGTTGAGGTCCAATGTGGGAGAGACATGAACGTGAAGCTGTGGGACCAGATGTTCCCCAGCAGTCTGTGGACGGTGCAAAGGTTTTGCCCACAGAGTGAGTGATGCAGTTCTCATTTCTTTAATGCACTTTCACACATGAAACTTGCTTTGGGAAAAATGTGGGAGAAGCAAGTTATTTTTCCCCCTTAATTCCTTTTCTCATTCTGATTCTCAGTGTTTTGGGGGTGACTCTGCTGTGGCAGCTCGTTACAAAGCAGCACCCCGAGTAGAGTCAGATGGATATGCAGCTCATGGCACCCCAGGAAGCAGCTCACTTTGAGACGCGACCTCTCTGGGTCAGGAGCTGGGTCTGTCCTGGTTATTGACAAGCCCAAGGTTGAATCATGAGGACAATTGTGGAAATATTGATGAAATGTTGACTGTGAAACCAATCTTTGATCTCATTTCCTTTTTTGTTCCCCTCTCGACTCTAGGGTTATGACAACACTGAAAGTAGTGTGCGTAAGGCCAGCGTGTTTTGCTTAGTGGCAATTTATTCCGTAATCGGAGAAGAGCTGAAACCTCACCTTGCACAGCTCACAGGGAGCAAGGTATGTATAGTGTTACAGGGGCTGATACACACACCTGCGCTCTGCCAGCTTGTCAGAAACCCGCTCGTCTGCAGCTCTGGCCTCCAACAGCTTTTTCGCAACGTGCTTGTGTTGCCTGGGCCTATTTCTCTAAAGATCAAAATGACCCTTGGTTCTGTGCAGTCACTAGACTGGGCGCTGCTGCCATCACGGTGTACTCTGTGTGGTAACGCCTGTATTTAATGTGTTAACTATAAGCCTCTACTTTACTCTCAAAAGAAAGATGACTTTGTTTAGAAGCCAGCTCATTTTCTCTCTAGAAAAATTTCCTCTCTAAGGAAATTTACCTGCTGGCTGAACCAATTGCTGTGAGGGACTGAGTTCTTCTTGGGCCTCTGCAGTGATGGTAGCTGGCCCTCCCTCCCAGCACTGCTGTCTACACTGGGTGTGTGTTGAGTCATTTGTTCAAGGCAGCGTCCCCGTGGGTTAAGACAAGTTTCTGCCATTTTACCTACCCTGGGCATGGTAGTTTTAAGCCAAAACCAGACTTCTCACTCACTTTTTGCATATTCCTTTAAGAGAATTCTGGAGTCAGGGGCAGAAAATAGACCAAAAAGACTCTTGGCTCATGACAGTGAGAGTGGCTAGAGGGTGTGTGTTGGTTCAAAAATAAACTCAAGTCTGATGAACCTGCCAGGGCAGAGCAGACAGAAACCCCTCAAACTCAGGCAGGAGAGTCAAGAATGGGAAGGAGGGGCCTTGAACTCCCTGAGGACAGGCCTTGGGAGACCTCAAGCTGTGCTGTGAGGAGCCCACTCCAGGGACTGCCTGTGTGGGGAGGGCATCGACATGGAGAGGTGTGGATAAAAAAGATGAATTAGAGGCACCCGACCTTGCTCCTTTTGCAAGAAAGAATCAGCAAGTGATACCCAGTTTCTTTTCCAAGGTAGTTAGTTCTCACTTAACTTTGCTGTTAACGATGTTCACAGTGCTTAGCATTAGAACCCGAGCGACTGTAAGCAGGATGGTCTATTAGGGAAACAGGTCCTCTTTCCATCCTCAATGTTTTAATGAAACATTGTTTGAGGACCCGCTGCAGGTCTCTTCTTTCACACAGTCAGCGACCATCACAGCCCAAAAGTTATAGGCAAAGCCGGCTCTGCTCCCCTTTGTCCAGAGCAGGCCTCAGCACCACTGACACCTTGTTTACGGGGGCTGGGGGAAGTCTAGCAACCACCTGGAAATTATAATGGTGTATCACACCCCTCAGTTGTGACAGTCACTGATGGGTCCATATATGACCGTATGTCCCCTCGGGGCAGAATTGCCCCTTGCTTAACACCACTGCTCCAGAAGAAGATAATTTATCCTTCCTGCAAATAGCAGCAGTTAGGTTAGAAGTTGTAAATGAAGCAAACGTGGATACATGGTTTGGGGCCTGCTTTATTTGTTCTCATTTTCCAGTCTCTCTTTTACTTTTCTGCTCTTACTGAAACTCTTCCTTACCCTTCCCTAACCACAGTCTGGACAGTGCTGAGTCCAGTCACAAGCAGGGTGCTAGGCCAGGAACCCTCCTCCCTCTCCCGGCCTGCCACCATCAGCGATTTCCAGGTGGTTTCTGGCAACAGCAAGGACCTAGAAGACAGTATTCACAAAGGGAACTGGATTTGTTAAATGGAAAATTCATCCAAAAATAACATTACCCCGACCTTGGTTTTGCCAGGCACTTTTACTCTCCTGAGTAAGAGAGCTATACTGTCCTCTTGTGTGACCCTCTATAAGACACTGAGAAAACACAGGCATTTCCTCTTCCCTCTGGTGCGGTCCACTTGCTGCTGCCCCTCCCAGTGGTGGCCTTGGGTCTCATGCTCGCCTTCTGATCAGGAGCCAGGACTTCCTCCCCAGCGACTACCTCAGCCAGTTCCGAGGAGTTACGGAGTCTGGCCTTAACACCTTTCTGCTTTGGTGTTACAACTCTTCGCTGTGATAACTGGTGCATTAATAAGAGCTTTGGTAGACTCTTGTACACATCTGAAGCAGACAAGCGACCTCCTAAGCCCTAGACTCATAGCTGACAGACATGGTGCTAAATGTCTCAATTTCTTAGTCCAGAAGCAAAGAGAATCAAGCTACAACTTCCCGTTTCTCTGTAACCAGGCCTGTCTGAACACTCTCCACTGCTTAAATGAGATTCATAAGTACTATCAGGTTCTGCAGGGAAAGACCTGATGGAGGCGCAGGGATGGAATCTATGGGGCGTAGTTTGAGAGCTGCCCATTGCTGTGACAGCAGCATTAGCTTTGGAGTCAGACAACCTGCTGTCCAACCTGACTTTCACTTATTAGCTAGATGACCTTGAGCACGCTTGCTTGCTTTTTCTCAAAATTATTTAATTGTGCTAAAATATACAAATATAAAATGTGACCTTAATCATTTTTAAGTTTAAGTTCACTGTGACTAGGAACATTCGTGTCGTAACGCCATCACTGCCATCCATCTCCAGAACTCGTTCATCTCGGAAAACCAAAGCTAATTTCCCTTATAATACTGCCACGTTCCCCCTACTCCCCAGCCCCTGGCCACCACCATTCTACTTTCTGCCTCTATGAACTTCACTACTCAGCTGCCTCATAAAGATATAATTTATCTTTTTATGATTGGTTTATTTTGCTGAGCATCAAGTACTTAAAGATCGGTCCGTGTTTTTAGGATATATCAGAATCTCCCTTTTTTAAAAAGATATATTTATGCATATAAGAACAGGGTGTAGGCCAGAAGTGTGGGGGTGGTGAGAGGATTCACCAGAGATAGAGTGGGGAGCAGAACAGGCAGATTTATTGAAATACACTGCTGAGGGGAGCAGCGGGCAAGACAGGAGAGGTCTGCTGTGCCATGTGGATCACCTCCCTGGGTGGGGATCAAACTCATGCTGCAATAGCTGGCGATAGCTTGATAGTGCTGAGACTTTAACCTCTGTGCCACCAGGGAGGCCCCTCTTAATAGATTTTTGTGGGCATTCTGCTTCTACAAAACTCTGTTATTATTAATGTGATCAGGCCTATTAATATAATACCTTAGTGACATTCAACAAGTAAGAACATACTATGGTACATGCTGTTTTGTGTATTTGAGGATCTGGGGGGCTTAAGTTGAAAGTAAATAAGATCTCAAATGTAAAGATGTAAAAACCCTTATAGTAACATTATGCCAATCCAAGGTGGTGGTAATTAGTGATGCTGTATTAGCTATCAGCCCAAAGAGGTGTAATTTTGCCAGAAGGAGCAAGCAAGTCAACCACTGCTGATTGTACATGAGGCAGCATGTGCTAAATCAGGAAGGAACAGTGGGGGATGGGAGTGCTACGGGAGTGAAAGGAAGGTATGAGTAGAGGGGGAAGGCTACGTGGACATGGCCTCTAAGTTAGGTCTCATATCCACTCACTAGGTTTCAGTAGGCAGAAATGGGGGTGCAGAGAGAAGGCATCCTAGATGGAAGATTGAGCCTCAGCAAGGAAAGAGCCTTCGCCACTCTCTCCTCATGGAATATGGGTCATTACCCTGCTTTTCTGCCAGTTTGGGTGGTGCCATTAGCTACAACCACCCCTAAGATGTGTGGTCGGCCCCTCGAAAGTCACCTTTTCCAGAGAGCCCTGTAGGCCACCTAGTCATAATACTTTTCATTCTCGGTAATGACCCATTGGGGTTATTCCATTCTCTGTAAAAACCCATTTGTTCTCTCTTGCCCTCTGGACTCTACCTCCTCCTGTGGCGGTGGCCTCAGCACCTGGCAGATGTGCCAGATGAGTAGTGGGCACTCAGTAAATGTTTGTAGAAGGAATTACTCAACTAAGAGACTTTTTTTTATCACCTGGGTTTTCCCTCTGTTTTCTACTTTCTGATTGCTTTCCCTCTTGCTAATTTATTTGTATCTTCTCTTTGCAGATGAAGCTACTAAACTTATACATAAAGAGGGCCCAAACCACGAACAGCAACAGCAGCTCCTCCTCCGACGTCTCCACACACAGCTAATGGCAATGCCAGAGTCTCTTTGTGTAGCCCTAGTAGAAGCAATCGGTCGGTGCCTCTCAGAGACCTTCCCCACCCTCCCCCTTCATCGGCTGCCCAGTCAGTACAAGGAGGCCCAAAAATATTTATTGCAATCAGTATTTTGGTCCCTTCCAGCTTTTGTGTAGGATCTTACTGGTGTTGAATGTAAAGGAAGCAAGGCCTGTGTTGGAGACTTCACACAAAGCAAAAGAAAAGAGCCATATTTAAACATGTCTGGTATAGCCTGCTGAACCTGTAAAAACATGTGTATGGGGTGCAGTTTTTCAAATTCAGAGCTCTCTAGCCGATTTTCTTCAGCTAACAGTAGATTTGAAGAGGGCAGGAGGAGGACACATCCATTTGTCTTTCTCTTTCATCTTAGCTGACTTTCCTCTGAATGTGGCCTGTGTAGAGCAGAGCCTACCGCTTTCACCACTGGCACTATGAAAGGGGTGTACGTCTTTAGGTTGTATTAAAAAAAAGGTGAATCAGGTTCTTGGCAAGAAAGGGAGAAATGCCTGAAGATGGCCTTTTAACAAACATGAGAAACTCTGCTTGTTGTGTCTGGACTGGAGGTGGTGCCCTCACTTTTAGTTTAGAAGGGCGCCCTGTGCAGCCTCCTCCCAGGACAGGTCCCCGGTACCCCCTGAGCAATTCCTCTGCTGCTCTACCTACTCCAGTTTCCACTTGATGTAATTCAATTTAAATCAAAGTTTAAGTCCAAACAAAAAATCAAGGTAAATTTATAGCACCAGTTAGCAGATACTGAAAATGGCATTTCCTGAAAGCATAGAAGATGTGAAAGAAGCGGCCCGTCGTGCTAAGATCTTGGGGAAATACTTGGAACAGGGCTTCTCCCATGGCCCTGGTGCTTGGTGACTGGTACAGCACCATCCTTTTTCCTCTCCCCCAACCTTTTCCTAAGCTGCTCAGTCCTAAAATGTCTTCAGTTAATCTGGTAAATGGCAACTCTACCATGTCAATTTTGACTTCTCTATTTAATCTGGTATTAAGATCAAAGAAGAGTCTAGAGAGACCAGATAGCAGAATTTTTTTGTTTAATTTAATGGACTGAAGTACTTCCTTGATCAGCTGTTGAAATAGTCATTGTTTAAGGGAAAAGTAATTATGGTATCAAATTACAGAAAAAATAGAATTTGAAATAACAACTTTAAAGTCTGTTTCCTTCTCTTCAGTGAGAAACTATCAGAGAATCTACCCCCTTTTTAAAAAAAAAAAAATTATGGATTTGATCACTCCAATAAAAGAGACTATAATTTGGAGTTCTGACTACATAAGTTTTGAGTAAAATTCTTAAAGCCAAATGGAAATTCTTAATGCAATTGTGAAGATTTTTATCATCTCTTACTATTTTATATTCTCTAAATTGAACTAATTTTTCCCTGAGGAAAATACGTCTTCTGATGTTGATGTTAATTTTTAATGATATCATTAAAATTTTGCTGTTCCTGCAGAGGGGGGGCCCTCACCCACACTCCCCCCCGCCCCCCACTGAGAAGCCTTGTTCTCTGGTTTTCCTCACCCAACTCCACCCCTTTCTCCTGCCCTTTAGCTTTGATGTTGAAAGCTGTGAAAGATACTCTAGCAAACATAATTCATTTTCATTCAGAATTTAGTTTAGATACTTTATTTGGAAATAGGCACTGAAAATAAAAGGCCAGGACCAGTGATGCAAGGGCACCTTCTCTATGGAGGGCGTGTGTGTGTGTGTGTGTGTGTGTGTGTGTGTGTGTGTGTGTGTGTGTGTGTGTGTGTGGCATTATCTTGCAAAGGTAGACATCAGTACCCCACTGCTGCTGTTGAGGGAACTTCGGGGGTGCATTTTTAAGTGGTTGACTATTATTGACTTACTTTTGGCTCAGAATATTGCAAGACCAGGCCTTACTTTCATTGATAAATACCATTTGTCTGTTACTTCACTAATGGAATTTCTTTTTTACACCATACAAATGAGTGTCTTTTGATTACTCTGTTGTAGAAATGTGTATTCTGACTAGGTTATTTATGAGTTCTTTTATGCCTAATTCTTTTAGAAAGACCTTTCTCCTTCAGCTCTGACTCCCAGGTCACCATGGTCCCTCCCTGCCCCATAGTTGGAAGAATCTTGAACATTGCCTGATGTCCTCATAGTACTCACAAAGGGCTAGCCTTGAATGTCACTTGCCCAGCCTTCCATCTCCCGACTAGAGAGATACAATCACTCACAGGTCTCTTGGCCTCAATCAGAACTGCTGCCTGCTGCCGAGGAGACTCGCATGCCGTCACCACCTCACAGAGGGAGGCCGCGTCCACGCCACCCTCCAAACCCTGACAGCTGCAGCTGCCTTGCCTTGCCGCCGCCTCCCTGCAGGGCTGCTGTTCCGACGACACAACAGAACACAAAAGAGCAAACACCCAAGACCGTGTTGGCCTCCCCTGTTTACCTGACTGTCCGGAGCCCAGAACAGCCCACTTCTCCGCTGGGGCCAGTTCGTCAGGATCCCGCTTTCCCTCAAGCTGCTGCCATCTCTCCTCCGACCCCCCACGACCCTGCAGGCTGGGGGCGAGGTGAGGCCTGCAGCCCTCCTCAAGTACACTGTGTGTGCTTCGCTGGACCGGTGCCCGCAGACAGCCGAGGGGCTGCCTTTCTGTGGCTCATCACTAGCTTCCCCATACCCTGTGCAGGTAATGCAACGGACTTTTGTCTCATAAATCTTTTTTCTTTCCCTGCCACACCCTTTATTTATCAAGCATAATACTACACATTAAAGAACAGCAAATAAGAACTATAGGATCCCATCAGGACTTTGCTAACAGTGATGTTTGGAAACGAAAAAAGAAATGCCCTGGAAGATATCAGCCACCAAGATTAGTTTTGTCAGCACTGTGTTCACACGCATGGTCCCCACATCCCCAGGTTGGGTTTTTGTTTTTTGTTTTTTTGGGGCTTTTTCATGTTACATCCATATCTGTATTTATATCTTATTTGTTTCACTCTCAAGTGTATCATGGCAAATGTACAGATTTTTTTTGTTAATAATGTGCTAGGATTTGCTAAAAAAGAAAACAACAAAAAAAATCCCTTTGAGTTTGCCCTAGAATAAATGAAACTTAATTCAATTTCCTGCTTTGGTGAAGTCTTTTTCATCACCCTGCCCTGCAGCTAGTTTACCCCATCTCCCTGACGCCAGGATGAGACCACATTTACAGGGAATCTGAGAAAACTGCATTAGAGAGCTCTTCTTAATCAGGTCAAACCCTAGAGAAACGTCCTCCGCAATCTGGCCCTGGGAGCTGCTGCTGTGCAGTGTGGAGTAGAAGCGATGGGCGTGAAGAAGCTGGGCCTGCATGAGGGGCTCCCTGTCTGGGCCCTTACTTGTGAGAGCATGGGCTCCCAGGAATTCTGAGACCAGCCCGCGAGCTGCTGGGAGCAGGCAGGGCTTTGGGAACCCAGGGAAGGCCTTGGAAGTGGCTGCCTGAAAGCCTTGGACAGGAACGTGTGCATGACACCTGGGGGATCAATCTGTGTTTTTGAAGCCTTTATAAAAATACCTTTGAGTTCCTCCATTGTGTTCCATGATGCAGCTCCAGAGTTGCTGCCCGTGGCCGAGTGCCCTGGTCCCGCCAGCCCTGTGGACCTGTGATGGAGCAGTGTTCCAGTCACAGATACCTGGGCTCACGTCCCAGGTTCCCCTTTGGCAAGTCGCGTCACTTTCTATCTATCGCAGGCTTCTCATTTCTAAATGGGAGCAAGAACTACCTCGTGGAGGTACTGGGTTGGTTCCGCTGGTTTAACTGAAGCAACTGGCACAGTAAATGTGGGTGGCCCCTGCCCTGCCTCCTGTTGTGGAAATACATGGATGGGGAACCCCCCCACACGCCTGCCTGTAGAGCCGGTATGTTATTCATTAGCAAATGTGGAAAACCCCGGGGGGTCAGACCAAGTTCAGGCAAGGCAGACCTCGCTGCTTTCTATATTTGGGCCTCTAACCCTGGGTGCTGTTGCCCTTCCTTCCCCAGGGGCTGCCTGGAAGGCCTTGCTGTCTGTAGGAGGGTCACAGGCCATGGTTGTGGGGGTGGAAGTTGCAGAGGCCCCTTGCAATCAGCAGTTCTTGAGTTGGGGGGATCTAAATGATCTCTCCAGAAAAATGCATATCTCCAGTCAATCGTCGAAGGTTCCAGAACCCCCTGAAGCTGTCCAGGGGCTCCACTGCGCTTGATGTTCTTGGACCATCAGTGGAAAGGGTGTGGGGAGGGCAGTTGGCAGGCAGAATCAATATTATTGGTGAGGTACTTAGACGTTAAAGATTCTCACTGGGGCATATTGCTGATTTTCCGATCTGTCTTGAGATACAATGTTCAATGTGAGACATAAGGACTCAGTAATCAGTGTATTTTTAAGTTCATAATCTGGAATTGGATGCCCATTTACATGGCCTTTGTCCACTCGCCCCTTTGATCATGATGAGTGGAATGGAGAGTTGAGCCCAGGCTCCTGCCTCTGTCTAGTGGCTCTCTTCCCCGCCCCCAGCCCTTTGCACATCTCTCCTGACATGGCAGAATCTCCTGGAGGGCTTGTGAAGCTAAGACTGGGTACTGACTCTGTAGGGTTAAGGAGGGGCCTGAAAATGTGCATTTCTCACAAGTCCTTAGGTGATGCTACTACCGGTGATTTGTGACAGGCTTGTGACACACAGTGTAGGGTGTTTTGCTTCAAATGTGACCTGGTTTGGTCCCAAGTTTGGGGACCGTCCTTGAGACAAGTGGTGATAGAAAGCGCTGAACTCAGGAAATGTCGACTGGACCATTATGGCAGTAGGTGTGGAACTTTACTGTCTAATTTAGCACCTAGACTTGGACTTTCGAAATGGGAATGGGGCGTCATTCACAGAGGAACCTTCTCGCAGAGGGGACTTATGTCTCCCTCCCACCAACATAGTTTCCTCCAGCCTCCCACCCCCAAGCCCCCAGAGGGGAACTTCCCCACAGAACCTGAGCACTGACTCCACCTGGCTTTCCATTTCCTCCAGTATTTATTAACTTACACTTCAGTGGCTCCAGGCAAGAGCGGACAAAGGTCATGTGAATGAGCATCTAATCCCAGATTATGTATTTAAAAAACATTAAAATGCTTCCACACCAGTGCTCTCCTCAGCCACCAGACCTACTGCCTGCTCGGAGGCCTGAACGTCGACTCCATCAGTCCCCTCAGGAGGTGCTGTGTTCCTGTGCATATTCCCAGCACCCCTGGCAAGCCCCTGCCTCCCTCAGTGCCCTGCCAGGGAGGCAAGGTCTGGGGCGGGAAGGGCTCACAGACCCAGACCACGCTCAGGCAGTACCACACATGGCAACAGCTTGGGCTCTGTGCCTCCCCGGCCTCCTCCACATGTCAGGGCTTCGAAGACGCCCACGTGTGTTAACACCAGCACCCATTCAGTGCCTCCTCCTGCCTCCCTGGTCTACGGGCTGCCATTCCTCACAAGACATTTCCTGATCCTTCCGTAGCCAGGGCAGCGGATACTGAACACTACCACGCGCCACTTTCTGTTCCAGCACAGCACTGCGTTGCCGGGTTTAATCACAGCTACTCTGTGAGGGGAGTCCTGTTATTCCCAAGTTAAGATGGGAACAGGCCCAGCAGAGTGGGAAGCACAGAGAGCCTGGGGTCACGCAGCTACTGAGGGCAGAGCTGGGGTGCAAACCACGAAGTCCAGTGCCACACTGAGCCAGAGACTCGCTGCGGCTGCCGTTCTCTGAGCCTCTCTTCACTTCCCGTCTGCTTGGCTCATGTTAGCAAACTCGGGTGGGCTCTAGTCACAGGCCTCGGAGCTTTTTTTTTTTTTTTTTTAAATATTTATTTATTTATACAAGAACCAGGGTACAGGCCAGAGGCGCGGTAGGGTGAGAGGATTCACCAGAGACAGAGCAGGGAACAGAACAGGCAGACTGACTGAAATACACTGCAGAGGGGAGCAGCGGGCGCGACCGGAGAGGTCTGCTGCGCCATGTGGGATTCTTGTGGGCCAGGCCAGGATCGAACCCATGCTGCAGACTGCAGACAGCTTCACAGCGTGGTGCTCAACCACCTGCACCACCAGAGAGGCCCCTAAGAGCTTTTGACACCAAACTCCCAGTGAGCATGGAGCACCGGTGAGGTACTGTTCACGGGGGAGAAAGACCTGTTTGGGTGCCAGGAAATTGGGTCTGGAATCCAACTCCGTGGTTCGGGGTCTATGACTTTAACCAGGTGACTCTAGCTGAGGATGACCTCAGTTTTTGCCTCTGTAAAATTTTAGAGGTCAAGAATTAAGGTGGGGTGTGGGGTTGAGTGGAAAACATGCAAATGAGGATTACACACTTTGTGTAAAGTTCCTAGACCCATCATCAGAGGTGAGCGATTGTAATTCTTACTATGATTCCTATTATCGAGGCGCCTACCTCAGTTTCTGACACACATGATGCTCAATAAATGTTTGGACCAGTGAAAGGATGTTTCTGCCCCTTAAAAACCCAGGTCCTGCGGGATGACCACAAATTGGGAACTTCAGGTGCTTTTTCATGAGGCGATCAGATGGAGTTGGTGAGAGAAGAGGAACTGAGTGTCCTCTTCTATTTATTTAAACTGCCTCCTGCCCCTCCAGCTGCTCTGACCCCTTGCAGCATCTCTGTCTTCTCTGCCCTTGCTCTGCCGGCCCCTCTCCTCCGCAGGGTGCTAGTTGCCCCACCCACACCTCCCCCACGGTGCTGTGTCCTGCAGCTTCATCTCCTTTGAGCTCCAGATTCACACACCCATCTGCTTGATGTTCCATGAGGAAGTCGCAGGGGCTGCTCAAATGGAGTATTTCCAGGACAGGACTTGTGAACTGGTCTCTCAAATCTGCTTTTCTCCATTTTGATGCTAATGGCAGACCTTATCCTCCATTCTCACCTTCACCACCCCTAAGTCCTATGAATCCCACCTCCAAAGTGGGCTTTGCAGCCCTCCACCTCTTTTCCCCACCACCTGGCCCAACCCCCCTTTAATATCGGCATTGCCGCCAAGGGACTACTGGGAGCCCCTCCTGCCCCTCACCCTCTGCCTTCTGTTCTCCTTCCAGAAGGTACACAGCTTTTTCTTTTTTTAATCTGCATCTGATCTATTTTCCCTTTGCTCCCAAACTTGCAGTAGCTTCACACTCACACACACATGCACGTGTGTGCATGTACCCTCAAGGATAAAATTTGAAAAGACTGCCAATGACATTACCTGCCCTAGGGAATTTTTGTAAATCACTTACCAATAAAGAAAGAGTACCCTGGACACCGCCTGGCATATTGCCCTTTACCTTTTATACAGTCATCACTTAAACCAGTGGAGTCTGAGAGTGAGCTTGGCCTTTGGAGTTGGCCCTGGGTTCCTGCACTGTCTTCCCCATTTTACCTGTGTAAATGCAAGTCGTTTGACTTTCATTAGCCCAGCAATGATGAGGCAGCATGGCAAATGAAGAAAATAGTTTGACATTCTCTAGAGAAGGTGAAGATTCTATGCCTCACAACCATTGTTTCCTCCTGTGGGCACACACTCAATAAGACCAGGTGTAAGTGTTGCAGAAAACGGCAGGGGGTGTCCAAGCAGCAGGACTCCTAAGACCAGAACAAGCTCAGCCCAGTGGGTGCCCTGGGAAGGGGATGGGTGAAGACTGGAACATTGTCATGTGGTAATCTGACACGATAAATCTTGCAACTACCATTCTGAGAGAAAACAGTCATAGAAGAATGTGTAGAGTAACTTTTTTTATTTTTTTAAGGTAAACTTGACCAAAACCTATGCATTTTTTAGAGATAACTATGCATGTTGTAAACTCTCCAGAGTAAGTCAACATGTAACAAGGGAGAGTGATGGTTTGTTTGAGGGAGGCAGGCATCAAAAATCCTTAATAGTAACAGATGAACTTTACTATGTAGTAAGAGTTTATTGAGCACAAAAAACGGTTTGCACACTGGGAGATTTCAACCCCAGAGCTGATGTGAGGTGTGAGGGCATAATATTACAGGACAGCTTATCACGAGAAAATGAGGATGCTTTTTAACATGATTAGTTAAGATAATGGGATTTCCAAACAGCAAGGGAGTGGTTAATTGTGA